AAATGGAATTCAGCCAACGTTTTGGACTGCTATGCACAGATATTTTTAATGTTAATTGTTTGGAGAGCGGGGAACTTAAATGATAGTAATTCCCTCTTTAACAAGTCTATTTCACTCGCAATTTTAGAATAAAATATTTAAAAAATATCACAATATTAAAATACGCATATTATCTTTACTGATAGTGGAAGTGATTAGTTCGTCTTTTCGGGTTTTCCCTCGAGACGTCAACATTAAAGATAAACTCCATTGTGGATGCATTCCTTCTGTCCATTGCCATCACATAGAACTTTGAGAAGGTAAGTTTACATCGTATTTACTCTTTGTTGATTATTAAGTCCGAGGATTTATACTGAGATCTTACTGTTCTTTTAAATCATATCAAAGTAAGATTCCTTTTTAAGATGACGAAAATAAGTCGAAATAAAGTAAATGTACCTGTAATAGACACTTTCAAATTCATCAACCACTAACGAAATTTTTACGCAGTTTAGAGATTTTAAACACTAGAGGATCAGGGATTTAATTTTGGGGGGGCTTTCATAAAACATAGGATAATTACTTTGGAAAAAAAGAAAGAAACTAACTAACTATATGAAGTGGTCTTTAAGTGATTCCTTAAGTACTTTTAAACGTAATTATACGAACAATAATACTTTAAGACATGGTTTTTTTTCCATAAAACATGGTTATATTCTACCATTTTTTTTGGGGGGGGGACTTCAGCACGAAATCCCTCTCCCCCCCCCCGTAGATCCGCCGTAGTGATTTTAAGTACAAATAAGTTTTAAGCTGGCACACTCAAAAAGTTGATATTTGAACAACTGCTTACTTTACGCTCTAATTACTAAACTGCTTGTTCCATAGAGACTGCATTATCAGTTTTGTTACGGAAGTAAGTTTGAAATTGTGTGCATGATTTGGAATACGTTTAATTTACTAAACGGCACTTTTCTGTTTCTTAATTAGAAAACAGTGTTGATTTTATTTCCATTATTTTAAATTATATAAAATAACCTATTTCACCCTAAACTTGGTTGTCTATTAGTGGATCAGCATTTAAGCAATAGAACTAGTAATAGACAACCATGTCTAATACTGCATCATTTCATTAGTTTTTAACATTTATTGGTTATTAAATATCACGGGCGGATCTACGGGGGGGCTTTCGGGCTGAAGCCCCCCCCCCAAAAACGGTAAAATATAACTATGTTTTATCGCAAAAAATATTAAAAAATTATCTCTTAAAGTATAATTATTCGTGTAATTACATTTAAAAGGGCTGTTGGAATCACTTAAACACCAGTTCATACAGGTAGTTAGTTTCTTTCTTATTTACCAAAGTAATTGTTATTTTTATGAAAAAATAAGCTTTCGGGCTGAAGCCTCCCCTAAAATTAAATCCTGGATCCGCTAGTGTTAAATATTGAAAAATAGTATCCCTGGAAATTTTATTCAATTCTGATCGCAGGACTTAGTAATAATAATAATTTCTGACATCTTTGGCCGTCTATGGATAAAAATTATAAATCATTCTTTAATGCTTCGGTTAAGTTTTTGTAATTCAATTTATGTTAATGTTTAATTGTTAACGACCTGCAATTACAAAACATTGCATACAATTTTACAATAAATACAAACCTAATACCAAGTCCATTCAAAAGAATATTGTTCTGACCTAATCCTCAAAAACTAAGACAAAAAAAATCAAGAGAAATAATACCAGGAGTAGTCACATCCAATCAGTGGCCAGAATACCATCAACGGAAAGGAAATATGAAAAGAGATTTGGAAATTAGGAACAAAGAGAGAGCGTTGGCCAGAATCAAAAAAAGAAGAAGAAAGAAGAAAAAAAGTCAAACGTATTATAATTTATAATCCTATTAATGCATTCATTTATAAATTAAAAGGTTTTTGAAAATAAAGTATTGCGTAGAATATTCGGACCGAAGAAGGATGAGTTAACCGGAGAGTTCAGACGGTTACACAACGCCGAATTGCGTGAGCTGTATCCGGGTAATATAATTGAGGTAATTTGATCGCGGCGAATCAAATGGGCTTGTAAAGTTGTTGGGCTTAGTAACGAGAGAATTCCTAAAAGGTTAATATTTGCTGTGCCGAATGGTAAGCGTCCGAGGGGTAGACCGAAGCGAAGGTGGGAAGATTGCATTAAAGCCGATCTGAAGGGACTGGGTTTGGACGGCGAACGGTGGAGGGAGGTGTGTAACAAGCGATTGGTGGTGTCGGCATCGAACCTTCGGGTTCGCTAAGCCTTATTATTATTATAAATTAAAAACACCCTGTATATTTTATAAACAGATAAGTGGACATTTAAATACCTATTAGTCGTAGAGAAGACTTAACATATAATTACATTAAACTATTACTTAAGATATAATTACACTTTGGATAAACCACACAGGTCCATTCCAAACCTGCACGTCCATTATTCTGGATATAATTACGCCAAGTAATCTGATTGTGAATAAATATTTTAAACAGATACAGTTTCAATAAAGGACTATTTGACGTTTACGAATAATGCGCATTCTATTCTTGATGGTCAGTGACTAAATGATAGTACAATCAGGAAATAAGTAATAGTTGAATTTCGATAACTCGAAATCCAAAGGACTACAAGAAAACTTGGAATAATCGATACATTGAACTATCAAGAGGAAAGAAAAAAAAATTCAAATTATTAAGTGTTTTTGTTATAGTTTTGAAAATACGAATGAGCTTAGATAAATTTTATATATAAATAGCTTCATGCAAAAAATATTAAAAGGAAAATTTCGAATTTTAAAGAGGGGAGGTGATCTAGTTCAAACTATAGAACGTTCTCTCCACTCTTGTTACGAAAAGGATTTCGAGTTTATCAAAATACAGCATTTTTTCTTCAATTAACCGATGTTAGCAGCTGAAGAAATGGAAAAAATCAAAAAATACGATTTATCGAGAGTCAACTGTGCAATGATGATATATGTCTGTACCAGGTAGGTAAAGGACACAATGTCCATTTTTGTACTTGTTCAGGAGAGCCAATCGTCCATAACTTAGAGTTAGTAAAATTTCTTTGTTATTAGCTGAATCATCTCTCTATTATATAAAAACGTTTTAAGTGACTTTCATGTTTTATTTTAATTTAGTATTAGGAGAGTAGGAGATAACAGGAGATCAATTTTTTAGTGTTGCTCTCCAATGGCAATTATTTTGCAAATGATACAGCTGTTCATTTAATTACATATGTGATGAGCTTCTGTTACCTCCTACTCTCTTAATACAAAATAAATATTTTAGACTAAAGATCTGTACATTTGTACGGAATATGGTATTCATCTGGAAATGTTAGTTTGATTTTACCCATATAACAGTAGTTATTTTTTGATCTAGGCATTTCCCCTTGAATAAAATATATTAATTATTAAATTATAGAATAATATTATTAATATTATATTGTGATCTAATTACAATTGTTTTTAAATAAAAAGGAACCTCCTAGTTTAATATAAAAATGAACATGGTGTTTTTTTACATTCGGGGCACTGATATATGAGAAAGGGGTTAATTTTTAATTACAAATAATGAACAAAACAAATGATCAAATTACAATTTACTGTATATTTGCTAATAACAGTTCATCTCGAAAGCGGTATATTTTGGGCATTAAAACGCACGACCCGTACGTTTTGAAGCCTTTGCCAGTGTCGCCTAGAAATCTTTAAAACGCAATTTTTCCAGTCCCGAGCCACTGATTTTCAAACGTCGGAGTTCCGAAACCTCCTCCTTTTATTTGAAAGTTGTGAACTCCCCTTTCGTTTGATACCTAAACGATCAAAATCCATAGCAACTGAGAGGAGGAAAAGGGATTTATACTTGCAGCCTTTCAGTTGACAGAATGACTAATTACAACATTTTTTACTAACAATTTTAGGGATACTTCTAGTTAAGAATTGTATATCTTTATTCACAGTTCCATATTTCAATACTGCTATACTCTGAAATCAACTTACTAGAAATAAATAGAAATAACCAACTAGAAATAACGCTAAAATGACATTTCAAAAATGTTGAAATTGGAGTCAGTCATTCTTTCAACCGAAAGGCTCATATATATATATATATATATATATATATATATATATATATATATATATATATATATATATATAAGAATCATTTCAATAAAATTTCATATAGGTACTTCTTTCTTTCTTTCGAATTAATTATCGTAATATATACATAAAAAAAATTATATATATATATATAGATCCCCAGGGGAAGGAATTTTTTTTTATGTATATATATATATATATATATATATATATATATAAAACCACTTCTTAAAGAATCACTTTTACACCATTTCATATAGATACTTATTTCTTTCTTTCGAAGTAATTATCGTAATATATACATAAAAAAAAATTCCTTCCCCTGGGGATATATATATATATATATATATAATTTTTTTTATGTATATATTACGATAATTAATTCGAAAGAAAGAAAGAAGTACCTATATGAAATTTTATTGAAATGATTCTTTAAATCCTGTTATACGTAATTAGACAATAATACTTTTAGAGATTTTTTTTTTCATAAAACATGGTTATATTTTCCCATTTTGAAGGGGGAGGGGGTTCAGTCCGAAAACCCCTCCGTTCTCCTTCCCCCTGTAGATCGGCCTGTGGTGTATATTGAAATGATGGTGGCCATCTATTCAAGTGGCTTTGCTCTAGGGGGCGGGGTGGCCGAATAGGCTAAAGCGTGTGCACAGCACCGCGAGTTGCCCGGTAACCAGATAGATGAAGTTTTGAGAGACAAAAACAAGTACGAGTTCGCGTCCCGTTGCCGGAGGGGATTTTAAATTCCCCGTCCTCACCCTCCGGCCCGGAGATATCCCGTATAGCCTAAAATGGCGAGGTAGGGAAGAACAAATAAATAAAAAAATAAAAAGTGGCTTTGCTCTTTCAAGAGTTTGTTTCTATTTCTTTTAGATCTGTCAATGTCAATGAAAACATCACACAATGCACAGCCGACTAATTGTATTGCTGAGTTCAATTGGGGCAGTTCTATGTGTGAGTATTATTTAAATATCCTAATCTACTTATTACTACTTCTCTTAAAGTATCCAAAAACATGGATACTTTATCTACGTCTGTATCCTTGAGACGGATCAATGCGTTTTCCAGAGGCCAAAAACACAGACGCAAGCTCTCGGTAAATTAAAGAAAAACAAAGAATGATGGTGATGGCAGAAGCACTAACATGTTTATGATATAAGATAAATATTTTTGTTAATTTTATTTATTTAAAAAAGAAAAGGCATTTTTGAATTTGTTATTTATGAAGTGAAAACTTCTTTTGCACTTTTTTGTGGTGAGGGAATTAGATTGAGCCGTCCGATCTCTAAAATATAACGCTCGGAGTCGACTAATTGTTTTTGAATATGAATTAAAATATCTCAAAAATTAAAAATCGGGCCTGCATATTGTTAGGAAATGAAACGCTTGTTATTTGATCCTCTTTGTTATGAGCTACTGTTCAAAATTGTACCTTAACGCGACACCGTGTTAGAGAGGCGAAGGGGGAAAAAATAGTGTCGAAAACCAAATGATAACGAATGTTGAAGATATGAATTAAAAGATCTTAGAAACTGAAAATCGGACCTACATACTGTAAGCGAGGGAAATGTTCAGCATTCCATCCCCTTTATAATGAGCTATCATTTATATTTTATATTTCATATTATTAATCTCAGTTGTTGATGTTTTCACTTCTAGCATGTGGTCTACCTTAGTTTTTATTGTTTAATTCTGTTATTTTTTAAAATATATTTTCTGTTATAGTTTAATTTTAAAGTAAAAAAAAAAAAATTACCAAACTAAAAGCAACTTAACATCTCCATAAGGGGCTTGTGGCCGACCAGTCTTCTACCTGTCAATGGAGTTCGGAGATCCCTGATGTCATTTTGTGGCCATAATTCACAACCGATGAGAATACATTTCTTCCCTCCCTGCCGTGCCTTACACACAATACGGGTTGCGACAGCAGTAAGGTAATACGCAGGACATTTGCGTATGCCAATGCTGGCAGTAAATTCTCTATTATATTAAAATTATTTATATTTTTTTTTATAATTGTGGGAGGAATAAAGGGATGTGTAAACTCGGGCGTAGACTTATCAACTGACTATGCGCAAGCCCACACCTTTCCTTTTCTTCGTTATTCCTTCTTTCACCTAAAGCCTCTCCTCTAAACAGCAGGTAGCTTATATAAGGCTCTTCTCTTCTTTCCGAAATAAAGTGTTTGGGTCTATAGCATCCTTCCACCCTTAAGAGAATTCCCTATATGCAGGTAATTCTTGCTGGTCATTAGCTTGTTGAACGTGCCATCCGTTAAGGTATATATCCCTAGCTCTCTACCGAGTTTAGCCTCCTAGGAATCCTGCGATTCCTGAGTGCCTCATAGGCAGTGAAATCGACGACCACGTGTTCGGCGTTTTACGGAACGTTTCAGTTGAATCACAGAGGATTAATATCCTTCCCTTGTTCTATGAGCTGCACTGGAAAGCCCCCATATCCCGTAAGAAATTGAGACACCCAATAATCCGTGAGGATCCAATCTTGCATCGGAAATTGTCCAGGTTCCTCCTGGAAATTATCTCTTATCCATGTAGTCATTGAGAATCGCAAGGAGCCTATTCTCTATATAGGAAATATTTTTTTTGAGCATTGTCGCATCAATAGCATCTAAACCTGGGACCGACCAGTCTTCTGTTCTTGCAGGGCACTCCGGAGGTTCCACAGATGCGTCCCAGGCGGGTATACCGTGGCTCGTCTCTGAAATGCATGGTTATTGTCATCCTGATGGATCACCCCTGGGATATGTCTCTTATATCAATATCTTTGCTGTTTCCTGATGAGCGCCTCCTTGTCTCAGGGCAGCAATGATATGCTGTGGGATAGGTTTTGCCAGTATCTCCCTCTATGAAATACCTCAGGAATTCTTCGCGGACTCTTCCTGGATGAATTCATCCCACAATCTTCATTTCTGTAAGCGGACTGTACTCATCGCTAAGTGAAGAATGCCTTTCTACGTCACTGCACCTCTGATATGCCCACCGGGCATTTTAGAGCTCTTTATTCAGGGCGGGTAAGGCTGGCGCAACCATGGGACAGATTGCTCTCTCGCTTTATTGGCCTGAAGAGATTCCTGGAAACCCTTTAATCCAGTATTATCAATATCAACGGTGACTCATTCTTCATCCAAAGCTTTCCCTCCAGGATTGACCAAAAGAAGCTCCAATCTTCTTTTCGGATCACTGCCAATACCATGAGAGCATCTTTCATTCTGTATCAGGTCCAATACGAATGCGTTGTGGTCGGATGGCTAATGTAACATCAACCCCCGACGACCCTACGTTCCCCGTGATTCAGGGAACGTTGAAGTGGCAGACGGGTCATTAACTACTTTCAGTTTTCCTCTTGCATTGACACTAATTGACTAATTCACCAAGTCTAATAACCCACCCCTCCTCGAAGCAAGGATGAAGGCGATGCTATCACATCATATACAAATCTTTTTCGCCAAGTGTACATGACGTTGTGGTGTTCCCATACCCCTAGCATTTTGCATAGGATACATTCACGAAATCCTTAAGGTCATGACCTATTATCCATCATCTCATTTCCAATAGGCCTCCAATGAAAAACATTATTCTTGTTATTATTATTGTTGTTTTGTGGTATTAATTTCATCAGGTTGTATATTTTTGATATTAGGTAAGGCAACCTTCATAACTTTCCTAGTGATAATTTCATATATTTCCACAGATGCCTTTACCATGTGCCTTTCTGTCTGTAAAATTACTAGCTTCCCGAACCTATGCTCTATAACTTTATTCCATAGGGTTTTCAGGATGTCTATAATATTATCTATTTTTGCTAATAATGCTTTCGGCTGAACTCTATTATTGTTCTTTACAGAAAGGTATTATCTTAGAGAAAATTCGATTCCCTTAGTCTCTTGGACGGGGCTTTGTTCCGATTCTTCATCTTAAAGGTCAGGGGTTCCTTCACGAGGTCTCTTCACGTGTGACCTCTGTACTTGATGATTTTATATATGAGTTTAAGTACACTCTGAAAGATTTCCGATGCCATCGATGAGGTCAGCACTAAGTTTAGGAACTTCCTCAAGTCAATTTAAATGTTCTACTATAAACAATGTATCTAACACTTTAAAAACATATTTTCAGGTAACAGAAGATATTTTTATTGAAACACCGGAAGGGTCGCAGCTGCTGAATGGCTTTGCCGTGTACGACCAGTTTCTCTTTTATCAGGAAAGGTTCGTCGGAGGGAGGATGAAGGCAGCGGCTTCCTTTGTAGCCCAGCATTCCAAAGTTCCTTTCGCCCAGTTATTTTCCAACATGGCGACTTCTGACTATATTTTAATTCAAATCCTCCACGCCCTATACTCTGAAGATACAAGTTTGTTAACTTATCTTGCTGAACTCGCTACGACTGTAGATAAAACAGAACCTAAAAGAGAAGAAAATGATTGGATAAGGCGAAATATTAAATTTCCTTCAGAAAAAAGTTTCCAGGTGATGAAGTCGCTGGTCATTTTGGATCGTAATGGAATCATGAAGAAATTGCCACTTATTTTATTAAAGGAAATCATATTAATTGTGGATATGGCATCCGCTCTAGAAACAGCGACAGAAGTGGGAAATATGGATGTGATTAAGGGGATTTTAAAATTCGATATAAATTTCAATAACTTGGATACATTATTTAAATCTGCGTTTTCCAATAATAAAATAGATGTTGTGAAGGTGTTGATAGAAAAAGGAGCTCTAGACAAGTTGCCTATTAACAAAACACTGATTGACTTGACGAGTTCAAAAGAGGAAACCCTTCTCCACTTGGCCGCCCAGTCGCACCGACCCGCCGCCGTGGCTGCCCTCCTAGAGGAAGGGCTGGAGCCGAACGAGATGGACGACGATGGCTTCACCGCTCTACACAGGGCTGTCGAGGCCGACGACGAGGAAGCGGCAGCTCTTCTGGTGAAGGGAGGAGCTCGGGTCGACCAAGGGACGCCTCAAGGAGATCTCCCCCTCCACCTGGCTGTGTCAAAGGGTAATTTGAGAATGACAAAACTCCTTATACAACTTGGCTCTCCCTTGGACACCAAAAATAACTTAGGCTTCACCCCTTTATATGTTGCAGAAAACACGGTTGTTGCAGCTGTATTAAGGTACATAGAGGATATTAGATGGGAACAGAGAATGAACGAATCGAAAAATTGCAGAGAACATAATTGTGATACCGAACGTTCTACATCCGCCCTTAACACCATATTTTTAGAAGATATTAACAATTTTTTTACCAATTTAAACATGAGAGATATTTTCTGCCACAATAACAATATACCGTTTATAGTTACTTTGTCTGAAATCGTGAACCTCCTTCTGCGCAAAGGCGAGGTTTCAAGGATGTCTTCACATTTACAATTTTTGTTATCTCTTAAAGCTAATAAAATTGGGAAAGAGGAACTTTCGGAAATTATGATAAACTTAGGATATGATTCACCTGATATAAATATTAATCCCATTTTGGATAGCATTGAAGACCTCAATGCTGCCTTTATGTCATTTGACGAGAACGTTAAGTTTAAAAATCAAACAGGACATACGAATCTGCACGTATCTGCCTCTGAAGGCGACCTAAAAGCTGTCAAAGCGTTGGTTTCGAAGGGAGCAGACGTCGAAGCACGGACGAACGACAGCTGGACTCCCCTCCACTTCGCAGCATCTCAAGGACATGAGAACATCGTCCGTTACCTAATACAGAAAAATGCAAGCATGAACGCTAAAACTTCTAATCAAGAAACACCATTACATTTAGCTTCGGCCAATGATCACGCGGATGTCGTAAAAGCCCTCCTCGAGAACAATGCAGACGTGAACGCTGAAATGCACCCGGACTGCATGACTTCCCTTTACATAGCGAGCCGTGCGGGCCATTTAGAAGTCGTGAAAGTCCTTGTTGAAGGTGACGCATCACTCAAACAGAGGGACTGCGGTAACTACAACCTGACGCCATTCCAAATCGCACTATTGAATGGCAGGATCTCTGTAGTCCGATTTCTATCCCTGCATGGCGCTAATATTGACGAGAGGGATACTGTAGGGAACACTCCTCTATACACTGCTGCTTGGAATGGAATGGATACAATGGTAAAGACACTTATAGAACTGGGCGCTAATTTGAAATCGCGCGTTGGGCAGTTGGGGTTGACTGCAGTTCACGCGGCTGCCGCGAGGGGCCACGCTCAAGTTGTAGAGCTTCTGTTGCGAGAAGGAGCCGATCCTGACATCAAGGACCGAAACCATGCGACGCCACTCCATTGGGCGAGTTCTTTGGAAGTGGCAAAGGTGCTCCTTAACAATGGAGCTTATGTCGACACTAGGAATATTAACAGAGAAACACCGCTTCACAAAGCATCCTCTTTGGGCCGTGCTGACGTTGTCAGAGAACTGCTACAACGTGGTGCTGATATCGACGCAAAAACAATCGATGGTAAAACACCCGCATATGAAGCCATACTCCAGAATCAATACTACACTCTGAAGATCTTGATAGAGAACGGAACTAATATTAACGCGAAAGGTCCTAATGGTCTGACGGTTTTAAATTTTGGAATAAGTAAAGGAATGTTGAAGTACCAATCTGGTTAGGAATTTTAGCTGACATCGATATATTACCAGCCAACTCACAGCTGAACCAAGAAGTAAGTCTATAATTAAAAAAAAAATAATCACTTATGTACATTCAATTTTTAATTTACTTGAATCAGTTTTGGGTACAAAATATTTCTATATCACAGACATTGATAAGAAATAAAATTCATTAAATAAAGTATATTATTATTAGTCGTTTGATGTTTTTTTTAACTTATAATCATTTTATAAATACATATTACACACGCTCACACTTATATATTTGTAAATGCCTCTTCTACCCATCTCATTATCGCCTTATTCCATGAAGGATTAAATTCTACTGCCGTTTCGCACAATTCAGATAATGAAAGAGTTTGTAAATAACATTCATATTGTCTAGCAAAATGGTATATATTTCGTTTTACAAATGACAAGATATTCTAAATGGCTCGTAAGCTCCATATTCTGTTAAGAGGGATTTTATAGCCATTGAAGTCTCACAAGTTTGAAGTTAATGTTTTACAAATTTCAACTATTTCGACAGAATAATTGCTGCATATTATGTAATATGGCGACAGGGAAAATAAATGTAATTTATTGCACACAACCGATGCTCCTACATCTCTTGGAGCCATCAACGTAGATGAAGTCTGAATCACTCAGCCTGTCATGTAACTTGAGATATTCACATTTACATAAATATGGTAGTGTTGTTTTCCAGAAATTCCGTAAGGAAAAGATTGATTTTTGGTTCACAGTCCCCACCCCCGGATAAATTCCATTTTCATAAAAAGTACATGGTTCAATGTTCAATCTCGAAATTTAATGTACGTGGTGGAAATAAGTTACCTATACATAAATACAAGCGTTAAAGCCGATCTGAAGGAACTGGGTTTGGGGGACGGCGAACGGTGTGTAACAAGTGATTGGTGGTGTCGGCATCGAACCTTTTGGTTCGCTAAGCCTTTTATTATTATTATACATACATAGTCGGCGCAACAACCCGCTAACGAGTCAAGGCCTCCTCGACCAGCTTCCGCCAGACGGCTCTGTCTAGTACTGTAGCAGTCCAGTTCGTGGTGTTCCGCAGGTTCCTTGCATCGACCACCACACCACATAGCCATCTTGTTCTAGGCCGCCCTACTCTTCTTGTTCGGTGCAGCTTTTCCGTTCGAGCCACATGATCGGCCTAACGGAGACGTCCCAGCTGTTCACGATATTGTCGTCTCTTAAGACATCTTAGAGCTCCCTTTTCTTTCTCTACCTCCAGATCTCTCCCTCTCACACTGCTCCGAATATTCTCTACAGGACTTGCTTCTCGAATACCAATAGTATGTTTTGGTAGTTGACCATGCGTCTGATCGATAGGTGATCACCGAACCTGCTAGGTTCTTGCAAAAGTTAATTTTTTTACCCAAGGAAAGATTCTTGCTCTTGAAATGCTTAGTTCGGCAATGGAAGCACCATTTGGCAGCATTGCTGACATCTTGAGATACATCGTTCTGGGAGTTCACTTCCGATCTCAGGTACACAAAGGTCTCTACTCTCTGAAACTTAAGGGACCAATGCCCAGGAATGTGACATGGTCCCCGTCCCCACCACCACCGGCTCACAAATAATTAATTTTTAGCTCATTCACTGCGAGACAGAATTCCCTGGCAGCTATTTCAAAAGAAGTGAATACCTCTTTCAGTGCTGGTCTAGCAGCTGCACCATTCTGTTAAAGACTGTGTTTGTTGTCTGGATTTTGAATTTCAGACAGCCATATTAAACAAAAGACAAGCAAGGGCATCTCCTTCTCTTACTTCGCTGCTGATTTTGAATGCTTCTGAAAGATTTGATCCCACACTGACTGAACATTTAGAATTTCTCAAAGCCATCTTTACTAGTAACTTTAGTTTACTTGAGACATTAAGCTCTTCTAGAACATTGCACAGCTCGTCTCTACCAACACTGTCATACGCAGACTTAATGTCGATGAAGAGACGATGAGTGGCCAGCTTGTATTCCATGTCCTTTTCTAGGATCATTCGCAAAGTAAAAATCTGCTCTGTGGTTGAGCGGTCTCTTCTTAATCACGATTGATAGTTCCCAAGTTCTTTCTCAGCGAATGGAACCAGTTTCTCAAACAAGACATTGGAAAGAACTTTATAGATACATGAGACCATCACAATTCCTGTATAGTAAGCACATCCGTTTGGTATCATTTCTTGTGCAAAAGACATATTATACCTGCAGCATCCTTTCTTCGATCTATATATCAAATGTGAGCTCTTATAACAATTTTTTCAGCTGCACACCTCCAATACTTCAGCAATTCTATCTGAAGGCCATATTTGTCAGGAACCTTGTTATTTTTGAGATTGCAAATGGCATCTTCAACGAGAAATTTCTATGAAATTAATGATTAACATATTTATTATTAGAACCTTTTTAATCCTTATTCTTTACAATGATTTTTTGGTTTTATTCATGTTATTGTTTATGATTTTCCTCTATTAGTATTTCTAAGATATAAATTATTCAAAATATTTCTTATTTTATATTTGTATCTATTGTTTTAGAATTTATCAGTCATGTAAATGTGATTATTATAAAGTCTTTATTTGTATTGTACCAGTAAAACAGATAAAATTAATCATCTGTAGGCAGACAAATAATCATCTGGCAGGCCTATAAATGTTTGGTAGTATATTTTGTGAAATTTATAATTTATATATATTCGATAAAGTATTAACAATAATCCTCATTCTTTATTATTTTACAAAATATTAGCAACTGCCTTCTAACACAGCAAGTAATTTTTTGTACATGTTCAATTGTTCTTTATATCAGGTCATTAGTGTGCTGGAAACCTTTGAACAATTGTCTTTTTAATCTTTCTTCAGACGGACCAGGTTACAGAGATGGAGAAAGAGACAGGAGTGGATTAGCAAGATTGATTAGCAAGTACTTGTCAAGTGTATTGATTTTACTGATGGTATATTCATGTCCTTGTATATGGTATGATTTTAAACAAACCAAGGTTAATTTACAATTTTTCAAAAAATTTTGGATTGTGAAGTTTATATTTTGTTTAAGTCGATATGCTTTGTGGAACTCCAAAGTTCTGCTTCAAATGTCTAAATATAGTGGTGTAGATTAGTCGTTCATTTGTAAGTTCAGTCCAAGAGATGTAACAGTTGTCTGTATCGCCTGGTCAGTTCTTGTTTTTTTCAATTTTCATGTGTATGTTCTAGGGCGAGTTTTCTGTCCAAATATAGTCCCAGATACGTAATAATTTTTTTGATGGAACTAGGTTGCTATGCATTGTTACAGCTAGACATGAAACTATAAAAAAAAAAATTGAAGAGAGAAAGAGTAATATTTCTTGATGTGGCAGAATTATTTTTTTAATTTTCCATTTCAGAAACTACTTTCTGAGATGCGGGAGATAGTTCTGAAGAACATTTTATGCAATAGTTGGATTATAGTGGGAAAAAAGAATTGCATTATTTATCAGCCATGAATAAATTTAATACAATTTTTAAATAAAAAGTAACAGCTCAAGAATAAAAATGAAGAAGAAAAAAAAAGACTAAGTATAAAAATTTGATCATATAATCACAGTAATAAGGTATCTGTAAAAATAAGACTTTTACACTTTTAATGTCATGATAAAAATAAAATTAAATAATATTACACAACCATGATTACAAGGGTTCATAACATGGAAAAACTTTAATGATAAATACAATGTATGCTAACTCTAAGGGCAAGCACACATCTACAAGGTAAGATGGAAATTAAAATGTTTTTAAAACATTTAAATATCTTGGAAGAATCACCCAGAATACTTAATTGTCGTTCAGACGCATAAATGTTTTATGCAAGATTGATAACACTCTATAAACTTTTAAAAACTTCTTTAAACATTTCTTTAACCTTACACTATCAGGTGTAAAATATGGATGAAGATATTGCTGTATAAGAGCAGAGAGATAATGACCATGGTGATAAATAAGTTCATATTTAATATCTGACCATAAACAAGAGTAATTTAAATATGTATGAAATGATCAATAGATAATGAACTGACTGTGGAATATCTTCATCCATCTTTTGCACACAGATTAAAAAAAAAACGTTTTTAGAAGTATCCAAAGTGTTATTGAAATAGAAGCTAATCATTTTACAATCATCAATCAAATCTAGATCAAACTAAGAAAATATATTTATTACACTACACATTATCATAATAGAAAATCAATTAATCATAACTATAAAACATCACATGAGCTAAAGCTATTTGCAATTTCAATAATAAAAGAATTGTTTTTTTAGCTTTACTAACAGCGGTCAGGCCTGGAAGTTCAATCTTACAATACATACCATTAAATTAAAATCATTACATAAAACAAATAATAAAATAAAATTTCTGAAACAAAATTTAAATTGTGAATACTTCATTATCAACAGGAACTTCTGTACTACCAAATCTGAGTAAGATGTTTGGAGTTTTAGGTTTATAAATAATTATCATAAAGTATTCATTTATAACAAATTATTAAAATTGTACTTTAAGGTAAAACAAAATATTAAAATCAATAAGTTACTTACAATAAAATTAACAAGATCCATCTTTACGTAATTCATTTATACAGAGAAGTTATGAACTTATTGTTGTAATAATAAAGATGTCATATAAATCAATGAAAACAATAAAGAGAATCCTCTCTTTTAATATAATAACTCATAAGGTCCATTTAATGTTGGAATCACAGGGAGGTTTCAAAATGAAAAGGAAGTATAACAGGAATATTGCACTGCCTCTAGAATTACTATTTGAAGACCCTATTATTAAGTCAAAATTGACTAATGTATAAACAACAACCTGAATACATTTTACATTTACAATACATATAAAGTTAATTTTTTTTTTCTTTCACTTCTCTTTGTTCTTCTGGTAATTATTTTTAACCATTGTCATGAGGGCCAACTTTGTTTACAGCAAAACCATAACTATAAACTCCCAAAAGCACATTGAAACTACAGCTGAACCTCTAAATGTTAAACATGAATGTTTGAAATTTTGATAAAAAGAAATAACGCAAAGTTGTCATACTAGAAACAATTGAGGTTGTTACAAAAATTAAACATCTCCACTTTAACTGAAACCGAGATATGTTTAGGTTTGATCATTTTTCAAAGTTGTACTTAATAATTTTCAACGAAGATTAATGAATGTTTTTCAAACCAAACTTAATCTCTTTACTCTTTAAATGGTTTAAAATTAATTTTTTTATTTCCATTTCATTTTTAAACAATCAAATGTAAGTTTAACTTTAATTCAGTCCCGACTGGAATATTTATTTACAATAGATTTTCTGTTATTTTGATAACAGAACTTTTTTTCATGGGAAATTTCAATTTTTAGTACTTTCAAAAAAACAAAATTTTTAATATAAAAGTTCTTTTAGAGCAAATTCATAATGTCAAAAAGTAAATCTAAATAAAATGATAATTGCCAGACAATTCTTAGTTACTCAAAGAAAATATAAGAATCAGATAATTCATGCTGGATAAATTATACTTCTAATCCATCGATTGGGCATATCCAATTACTGTTCATTTCACATTTAACAAAACTTTTTCAACTACAATACAACTTATTGAAGGAAGTTAGTTCATTGTTCTACATATCATGGGTGATAAATATTCAGGATGCAGTCATTATAAAGTTTTTATTGGTGCCGATGTTTCAACCCAAACATGTGAAATGAAAAGAAAATATATTACATTATTCTAGGACTGTTGTCCCTTAAGAACAAATTATAAGTACTGAATACATGTATATGTGGTCATAAATAAAGTAAATATTTACAATATTAATTATTTAAAAGTAAAAATATAGAAGAGAGAGAAAAATACAGAAAAAGCATACATATATATAAAACAGAGAAAACTAAAATAACAGAAATATTTTCTGGGGGTACTTAGATAGCTCTCTTAGGTATATTTCATAATCAGGCGGATTGATAAAGGAGTAGGTGTTTGAAGAAGAGAGGTTTAAAAGAGGAAACTGATAGTGCGTGTCGAATATCAGCAGGGATGGAATTCCAGAAGGAAGTGGCTTGAATTGCAAATGATTTCTCAAACGCAGCAGTTCGGTGAGGAGGGGGACGGGGATGTTGGAAGTATGAGATCTAGTGGGACAGGATTGGATGGAGTATTTGAATTGTAAGCTGTGAAAAATATAGGAGGGTCGATGAGTTTAAATGATCTGGTACAGAAAGGTAGCAAAAGAGTACTGACGGTGATAGGATGAATAGAGCCACTTCAACTCAGTGTAATACTGGGTAATATAGGTATCTATTAAGCTTCCGAAAACAAAATGTAATGCGCAATTCATTAGGCGTTTAAGTTGGCCTCGAAATCTCCTGAGAGTCCACCGTACAACATACAGCCATAGTCGAAGTGGGGAAAAACAAGAGAGGAAACTAGGAGTTGATGGGACTTATAAGGAAGGAGATAACGTAGGTGATTGAATTGTGATCATCATCAGAGCATGTTTGAAGCACTGAAGGTATTCAAGTACTGACCTGTCAGTATTATCTTCAGTGCTCGAAACACGCCCTGATGATGACCCATATGTTTGGATTGAAACGTCGGCACCAATAAAAACTTTATATTAAGGACTTAAATAAATGAAGGTTAAACTTTTACAATAAACCTGGAAATTTATTACATAAGAAGTTTCTTAGAACTTCCTTTTAAAGTTTGTTTTCCATAAAGTTTCATGGAAACCGTTAAACTACCGTTTAAAACTTTTAAGCACTGTTTTAGAATTTTTATTCAATATACAGAATATATTTTTCTAAAAACATTTGATAATTGAAACTTTTCGATACATGGAAGTATGCACGTACAGAGGGTCAACTGTAGATTATAGCAAAAAAATAAGATATGATTTTTCTGTTGAGATAAAAGATAATTTGATACAAATAATTGTTCAAAAGTTCTGCAACTATATTCCTTACAAATATATTACATATAACAATAATAAATTTCATACATTGATAACAGGAGTTCTTAAACTTGTGTAGTCTGTATATCTCTTTTTGAACATTTTTTATTTGGCAGATCTCCTCTCAACACATTTTACCTTATTATGTTCATAAATAGTTACATAGCAACAATTGCAGAAAGTCTTGGACATGTAAGATTTTTATAAAATGAGTTATTTGAATACAAGTGAAAAGTTGAGAGTTATAAACTGGAAGTTTCACAGGTCTCTGTTTAAGAACTCATGTCTCAGATTGTTTTTTAATAAGTTGAATTGAATAACTTCACTACAGGCTGCTTAATATAACTACAATAAGTTGTAAGGAATTTATATAAATAATTAATAATATTAGAAAGAATGGATCATTATTTGTAATACTTTTTTCAGTCATAGAACATTTATAGAAAAATAAGAGAGGCAAATAAAACAAGTTACTAAATAATAATACTACTCTATATAGAAGTATAGATAAACTTAATATTATAAAACAAACAAAAATATTAAAAATAATAATTAAGCAATTTCAATAAAAATTTTTTGGCCGTATATTATGTTATAAATATTTAATCATTCTATTTAAACAAACAACCACAAATTAATATACTGACTTAGTTTTAAAAATGTAAATGTGGTTTTGTAATAAAAGAAAAAGTGGTTTTGTTTTGTAATAAAATGGTTACATAAAAGAAGAGTTTTTACTAAATATGGAACCTTGTTTACAATTTTTAATAATAATAACAGATAATCTTCACTTTATGACTGAGTTCCCTTCTTTTTGCTATCTTGTTCTCTTTCGCTAAGCAAATTCCTTATCGATAAGGAAACTGTACCAGAAATATAGGTGCGTCATAAAATTTTAACTTTCTTATGAATTTCAGAAAATTTTAAACCACTATAAATATGTCTATTGAAAAAAAAAAAAAAGTAAACTGAGTTCTAGAGAAAACTTCACAAAATATTTATAAAAATCTGGATTTTCATTAAAACCATTACAGCCATTTTGGATCTAGTCTGTGAAAACATACTTACGAAATCCCACAAAACAAAAAGCAACAAAATTGATCCACCCTTCAATAGATAATTGTGGCACAGTCAGACAAACCATAATTATTTTTTTAGACTGTGTTAAGATCTGTTAAAAATCACACATAAAAATTTTGACCTGATTACAATACTTTTCTTACTTTATAGAAAAGTAAAAATTATACAACAAAATTTAAAAATTCTTCGGAAGATCTAGGTAAGGAAGATGATGATAAAAGAGAAGTTATAACTTCAAGGGCGGAAATGCTGGATATAATAGTTAAAATGAAACCCAAAAGTAGAATTTACTTTAAGCAATAATATTGATTAATATTAAAAACAGTTGAAAATTCTTCAATTGTAAAATTTTTGAAAATATCAAAAGTGCCAATTTAAAGTCACATATCACTCAAGCTGAGAAAGAGGCCTCTGAATTGCAGATTGAATCTCGAATGGCATAAAGTGACAAGTACCTATATTAGCTACTAATAAAAAACTAAATTGATTATAATTAATTGTTGAAAATAAATACTGTTTATATCATTAATTAATAGCATTTATCAACTAAGGCTGGAAGAAGAATGAAACTTCAAAAATATACTACGCCTAACTTGAATGATATGGAAGAATATCTAGGATTAAACAAGTCATGGAAATATTTTTCAATTCCTCTCACTATTTCTTAGGGTCTATAGTAATCTATATTAAACAACTAATTTGTACCAGCATTTCTATAAACAAAAAAATATATAATCACATCGGGCAAGGTTAACTGTAGAGATGGAAGAGTATGGCAAAGTAATGGCTTACAGCAGCGCCAGCAACAAAGAGGTGCCAGATGGCGTGAGCGCAAGGAATCTTACCGTCACTCTTAAAGAATGTGATGCCAAGAATGTAGAGCGCACCTCCTAACTTCAGCATGAACTCTCCTGGCCCTAATGACTATTCGCAACACAAGAAAATGTTAGTTTACAGTTAGTAAAAGAAAGTGGCAACAATAACAATTGAGAGGTTCAAACCAATAATGGTTTATGTGTATATATTCTTTTAAAATTTACAGGAGATAAATAAAAGTGGTACAGTAAACCATTATTCTATGAAACTCTTATGACAATATTACAAAGAATATATTGAGTTGTCTGGAAAATAATGCAGGATTGAGATTTAAAAAGAAAAAAAGAAAAGCTTAAAACTGTTTTATTAAATCAAAATTGTCTCAACTACTATTAATAAATTTCTGCCAACGTGTCGGCAACTTTTCTATTCCCTCAGAATAGAATTTCCCATCTTTAGAATTGATAAACTCCAAAAACGCATTTTCTAATTCCCTTTGTCCATTAATTTTTTTTTTCAGGTAGTGGTCCAGGTGTTTGAAAAAATGATAATCCGTAGAGGAGAGGTCTGGAGAGTAAAGCAGATGTGGTAGAGTTTCATATCCAAGATTCAACAGTTTTTGTGATATTACACGTGAGACATGTGTCCGGAAGTTGTAATACAACAAAATGGGCCCCTTCGGATTGACAAAAGATGGCTTCATTATTGCTAATTTCTGATGCATTGCATTAATTTGGTTACAATAGGATTCGGCATTGATGGTTTCTCCAGAATTTAAGAAGCTGTAGTGTATTAAACCGACCAATTATTAACCATCACCTTTTTATGATAAGTTGGGGACTTCGGAAAATGTTCTGCTTCTGTTCCTTTGTCGAGCCACTGTCCAACGTCTACTGTTACCGTAAAGTATCCATTTTTCATCACAAGTAACAATTCTGGACAGAAAAGGGTGGTTTTTGTTTCAGCAAAAAAGTGTAGCACAAATTTCATAATGGTTTTCTTTTTTTTCTTTTTTTTTGCGATCGTTTATTTAATGTGTATGGAACCCAACTTTCAAGCTTTTTTACCTTTCCAGTCACCTTGAGGTGGTCATTGACGGTCGATTTGCTAAGTTAAAATTCCCAGCAAGTTCTCTAACAGTTGTTCTAGGATTTTCTCACACCAAAGCACGCAGAACATTGTCATCAACAGAGGAAGTCCTTCCACGACTTTGTTTGTATTCAAGGCTGAAGTCTGCCTCCTGAAATTTTTTTAACCAATGTTGAACAGTGCACTCATTAATGCTGCTCTCGCCCCAGATTTGATTGATGTTTCAAGCAGTCTGAGCTCCATTCTGGCTGAGTTTAAACATGTAAAACAAAATTATATGAAAATCACACGTTGACATCTTAGTAAAAACTGAATTATTTCTAAGTAACGAAATGCTACAGAGGTAAACAAGTAATATTAAACAAGAGTATTAATAATTGTTGACATTCATACAAATTAATAATCCAGTGAACATAAACAGTTTATTATATAGAGGGATATTTTAAAGAATAATCAAAATTCTGCATTATTTTCTGGACAACCCAATAGTTTGTATCGCAAAATCTATCAGTTTCACTTTCTCTTAAATTGACAAAATATTATTACATTTACTAAAACAAAAAATTAATTTATAGCATAGTATGAAATAGAGCAGTTGGTTTGGAGCAAGCTTCTTAATTCAACACCAATCCCTTTGATGGGATCTACTGATAGATAGCAATTTAAACTCAATTCAGGAATGACCTGCTGGATTACCTAATCTTTTGTTATTTTTCAAGTGTTTGTTACATTCCAGAAATGGTAACCTTCCCGTAATGTAACAAACACTTGAAAAATAAAAAAAAGATTAAGAAATACCTACCTACTAAATCGTTGAATTTCAAGAAAAATGAAAAAAAAAGTTAGGAAATACCTACCTAATAAATAGTTGAATTTCAAAAAAGAAATAAATGTATAAAGAGAAGTTGGTTGAGGATTTCAGTAATTTGAAGTACACGAAAATCCCCACATATATTGTTACAGTAAGGCTCGAAATCGGTTTTGTACCAAATATAAACTCTTATCATGATCAAATGCCACAAATAAAGTACTGATTCACAATTTCATGGGGGGTTAGCGAATCGTACTCTTCACTTTTGTTTGTCATTCTAAAATAAATAAAGTCGATATAAATATTTTGCTAGGCTTCAATACATGAACAGTGGTAATTTGGTAGATCGATAAGGAACAAATTAAGGTTTGAAGATTTTGATGCGGACACCAAGATCCTTCGAAACTAAAGGGTCCTGCATTTTCAAGCCCGAAAATGTACTGTTTTCGAGATAATGCAAGGCAAAGGGTTCACAGGCACACAACCTCACATTAATTGTAGTTCTACCATGGGATACATGTCTCATATCATCGACTTGAGGTCCCTATCATCAAGAGAGGAGAAGTTTATATTATTTATCAAAGGTATTTTTTTTATAGTTCAACTTTATCATCATTAATTCTTCATCAATTCCTAAGTTTGAGCTATTGTTTTGAAGGTTTTCTGGTACTTCTTGTCTAGGGGGCCGGACTGAAACCTCACTTCTTATCTATCGTATCTAACGCCACGTCACATAACCTCCCTCTTCTTATCCCGCCAAACCTTTGAGTTATTGCATTGCTTAGTTTTCAGTTATTCCCTTGTTACGTTCACTTATTAAATTCTTTACTTTTGGCCCGTTTGAGTTTATTTTTCATTATTTTTAATTTTTGGTCCGTTTATGTTTATTTTACATTTTTTTTTAGTTTTTGGCCCCTTTGTGCTTATTTTTCATTTTTTCCCGTTTATTTTCGTCATATTATGGATCTTCTTAGAATATGGGATTTGCCGCCTTCAGAAGAACAGGCAATTCAATACTTTCAAAATGTTGGGGGTACTTGCCGACGTGAAATTGTGTGAACAAGATCATCGAATGAAGTTAACCAGGAAGGCCAAATGGAGATGCTTTCGTAGGACTTATGACACAAAACTTTTAATAAGGAAATGTGGAGGGTTCGAGGATTTAGTTTTTAACAGCTTTCAAATTGATTTATGGGTGGTCCCATAGCTAACAACGATGAAGTGGGGCAAAGATAAGCTGAAACTATCCTACGGAGCTATGGTAACATGGAACAAATTTCTAAGAGAGGTTTGTGTCCATGACATGTTATACAGGCCAAGAAAAAAAATTGGAGGACCTGGCAAAGTAGACGAAAGTCTTTTTTCTAAACGAAAAAATCATGTGGGGAGAGTTTTACCTCAGCAGTGGATGTTTGGTGGAGTTTGCCGAGAAATAGATGAATGTTTTATCTTTTTATAAAACAGATTTTAAGTTTAATATTTTTTCTTTTCTATGTAAATATGTTCTTTTAAATGTTTTTTTTTAAATTTCATTTTAATGTTTTATATGTACATATCTTCTTAAAGTGTTTTTTTATTATTTCATTAATATATTTGTTGTCAAATAAAAGTATTTTTGTTGTTATTACATTTGTTTTTGTATCTGTTTACACTTTCAATAATACGGATACCCTCCGAGGCGTCTGAAAAGAAGATGGCCCTGTGATCTCCTAATGTAGTCATATCATTAGAGTGCTACTATTGGGTAGTTACTCAGCAAGTGTATTCATGTCATTATATCAATTATGCCCAAATTTACTTGATGTATTTATGTAATACAGTTGTAAATGTCATAAAGAAAAAAAAAAAAAGAAAAAAGAAAAGAAAAAAAAAAAAAAAAAAAAAAGCTGTACCATTACAACCAATAAAGGGTCTTAGATTCAGTACTGTTTCTTACTCAATGGTTGTGCAAGGAGGTGATTTGACTGAGATCATGCTCAACCACCAAATTTTCCCCTCTTAATTAATTATTTAATTACGGGTACCCACTTTATAGAGGCTGCGTGTTCCCCGAGAGGGTCTCCCGACCCCAGGGTCGTCCCACGGCTGATGAAACAGAATAAATAATTTTTCTGTCATGAGCCGAGATTCGAGCCCAAGAACTTGAGCATTGGAAGATCAGTACCCTACTACTGAACTCCCCCACTCTCCCACACTTTATAGAAGATAAATAAATTCTCTACAACAAAAAAAAAAAAAATCAAAATCGGAATATTATTAGCAAAGATAGCTTATTAAAATTTGTGAACATGTTGGGTTCGTTCAAAACATTATTGAAATTTTAAATTAATTTTTATTTCCTTTGTCAATTGTAATTAGTGAAAAAATAAGAAGTTGCGGGATCAGTAAGAAGGCTCTCCACAATGCTCAGCGGTAGAGGAAGAAATGATTAAGAAGAAGAAAAAATAATAATTAATTGTGGGTTAATGGTTGACTGTCGTGAATAATGAAGAGAAGGATGGTTGAATAAATAAAAATAAGAATTGATTTCTCTATTTTATGATACGTTGCATTATTCTATTTTATTATTATTAATTTGTCATTTGAGCACTGACCAATATACTGTACGAATTACTGAAAATATTGTATACTATGCTCATACATATTGATAATACGGCATATTTTTAAATTAGTTTAAAAAAAAAAAGTCTATAAAGATTAATAAGTATGCTGTGTTTGTAACAACCCAATTTAATTGGGCAGCACCTTTTTATTAAAATAAAGTGATTCTTTCTATTTAAGAATTCCTGAAATATTTTATAAATTATTGAATTGTTGCTAAGAGAAGAAATTTTACACACCTTATGTTGCAATATAACAAGAGCAGGTCCGAGCCCAACGAAAACATACATCATAGTTTCAAATGATTTGTACTTCTCATAAAATGTTTGTTGGTAAACAATACCAATCAGAGCCAATACCTGAAAAAATTAGATGCAAATTGATTGTGGGAAGAGAAAAACTATTAAATGTAAATAAATTAGGAAATTGATACATATATTAATATATATTTGTATATACATGATATTGATGTCTTCTAAGCAAGTATGGATTTTTTTTTCCATGTGATTTTTCTCACTAATTGTAAATCTCTTTTAATACTAAGAGAAAGAGTTAGTACTAAATTCAAAAAATAATATATCCAAAACAAAAAAAAATAAGGATCTAAGTATTATGTAAAATAAAATACATATTCAGATTTTGTGTCATTTTAAATATTTAAAATTTTAATTGCAATATCAAAAGTCATAAAGTGCTACTCATTAAGTGATCAATATTTTGTACTATAAGGGACTTAATTTTAAGCTATAATTCTAGAGTTGAGAACAAAATTCATTTTGAAAATATTATTTATATTATTAACACTTTTCTTGACGATAACTTGAGATAAAAGATTCTAAGAAAATTCTTGTTGCTATGGTAACTAGTTCTTTGTTTCAAATTTCCCAACAAATTTATCATTAGAAGTAGGTATGGTCTAAAAGTTCATTTAGTAAGTTATCAATTTTTTTCTACTTTTTTGATTCTTGAAATACATTCATTAAAGCCTTTACTCAAATGTTGATAAGAAATTTAACAATTAAATTATTTTCTGAATGAATTCATGAATTTCAGAATCTTAATGTTAAATCATCACAAAAATGTTTCTTTTATTAAAGCAATTAGAATGTTCAATTTCCTAAAATATAAATAATAACCTCAATAAATACTGTTCATTAATTAAATATTTCTCATTATTATAAGCACAGGCCTCTTACTATTCTTGGGTAGCAGGCATAGTTTTTATCATATATTAGACAATTAAAGAAAAATTTTATCTTCTTAGAATAATTAGGTGTAGACAATCAATTCATTTTCTTTTTTTTATCTGATAAGATGAGACACTTGACAAAGATAAATATCATCTAATATGTCTACAAAAAATCTCAATTTAAAAAGATCAACGGCCTATTTATTAATTATATTTATGAATAATTTCTCAAATGCATAAATCATTAATTCAATATCTATGATAAATAAATGAAATTACCCAAATTATCCACCAGAGATGATAGGGCCATATATTATGTGGAAGTGGATCTAAAAAAACCCAAGGGAAGTATGATCCGGCGATAAAGATGTAGATCATAGCTCGGTCACTACGATGTAGAAGTTCCCTCAGAAACCTAAAAACATATTTATTGACATAGTTAATAAAAAATGAATAAATAATTAAACAAAAATGAAACAACGTCCTATCGAAGCATGCTTTTTATTCTAAGGCAATAACCTGTTTTTATTTGAAAAGAAGACAGAATGGAAGAGCGTAGAAACGGTAAAGCACAAGATTAGTGAAAGACTATAAATCAGAGCACAGAGGAAGTGTGAACTTGTTGGAGACTTTAACAGAAGAACCAATCCTCCGTATATACTAGGAAGCACCCAGATCTGACAAAAAAGGTATATACAAACAATTATAATAAAAAATATTAATATATCAAATAAATATATTACAGAAAAAGTATCCATTTTAACCTATTTCATATTATTTATTCATCAACAAAAGCAATCTATTTACAATTTTTATATAATAAACTATCTGTACCACAGGTTGCTGTGGCTCATTCTGGTTAAATAAAAAAATATATCAGATGTTTCTAATATATTTTATGAAACAATACTTATGAATATGCTATATTCTTTGTTGTTCCATTCTTTATATAGAACTTCCAAATTTTCCAACTCGAGAATTTGCGACATATAATAGTCTATATAAGAATCAATCGTCTCTAAATCTTCTAACAAAAATTACTAAAAGTTTAAAGTTTAATCTCTGCACCAAATCGTCCGATTTTAGGGATTTTTTTTATTTATTTACATTGAATCAAAAATGTTTTCAAATAATGGTGGGTACAATCGAACAAAAATTGTGTACTTTTTGAGTTATTCGCAAATATAGTTTTGAACCCATCGTAACTTTTTTTCATACTCTTTTCGGGGAAGGATGTTATATACATAAATAAAGAGGGCTTCAAGAAGAAGACTTTAGCCAAGTTTAATTACAGCCGTTTAGGTGCTACAGTCTAGAGCGACACAGGTTTTTGGGTCGCCATTCCGAATAGAAATACCGGCGGATGATTATATGTATATAAAAACACTCCTGAATGAGATAGAAACAATATAAAAATATTTCAAAGCAATCGGTGAAGACGTTTCGGAGGTTAGCAGTTTTGAACAAACCAATATTTACATTTTATTAATATAGATGAGATAACTAAATTTTCGAGAAATACTTTATTTTCTAAAGTCTTCCTATAAGCTGTATATCCCTTAATATAGCTAACTTGGTTTTGAAAACCTTAAAAATTACCATTAACATTCTATTATCATAATATTTCTCAAAGAAGAAATAATTCTAGATCCTAGTGCTTAAGTCATAAACCAATATGCTGGTTGTGCATAAGATGATCTTACCATAGATGGAATCTTGAGGAATGCAGAAAGTAGTCAAGTATTGTCATGTTCTCACTCAGACAAAATATTTAGGTGAGATTATATTGCCCACTTTTTAAGAGGGGATTAATTGGAATAATCAATGGTTATTAAAATTAATGCTAAACTTAGAACATAATTGTAAGACTTCTCCTCAGGAGGAGAAATTCTAATTGGTGAAGACAGAGATAACCGCAAAGTATTTAACAATGAATATGAAAAGATTCAGTTCTACTTATGAAAAACCTAGCAAAAGGCCCCAACTTCAACTGAAAAGACCAGTCAGGATTTTGACTATTTCTTGAGTGAGAGGTAATTCAACACTCGTTATCTAATTTAAGTATAAATAATTTTAATAGACAATAATAATGACACTCAGCTACTTTAGGAATTTTATCTACAAAGTAATCTTGCACCCAGCCACAATTATCGAAAATCATAACTTCTGACAAAATAGTAATGAATTTAATTTAAATCAGAAACCCAATGGAATTTATTGTCGTTAAACGGTCCATTCTTTATCCACTGAAAATCTATAATACTTGAAGACATACAATACACCTCCTTCGCCACCAATTTCAACACATTTACTATATTAAAGCATCTTAAATCTGATATCCTTTAAATGGAACTTAAATCTCTTATTTTCAAATGGCACCACCATAAATCTCCAAAAATCAGGGCAGCCACATTCTTTAAAAATATATGCATATATAACAAAATTGTGAAAGGCGGAAATGGGGTCAATAAATGCTTTATTTTTTTAAAATGAGATATAAACATATTCAAAGCACTTTTATAAATTAAAAAAAAAAGTTTAAAGTTACTAGAAGTAGTTGGTAAGACAATTTAGTACAATTATAAAAAAAGAAGAGAAAACAGGAAAAAATTGTAATTGAAAAAAAAATCTTGGAAAATTATTAATAAAAAATAATTATTAACACTACAACAATAGTCATCACTGTCACAAATTACTGTGAAGTAATACCTTAACATCGAATAATTATTACTTTTAGACTTTTTTTTTTAGTAGGATAAGGGGTGATATGAGCCAACTTAACAATGTAGTTGAGTTTTGTCTAATTGATTAAGGTGTAACAGAAGATTAATAAAAAGAGAATAATTTAGAAATGAGTTTATAATTATCTAGATATTTAATAACTAATAATTATCTATCTTTAGAGATAATTGAGATTATCTAATAATTAATCATGAGCAGGGTTCAGCTTAATTAGATTTTAGTCTTGAAGGTAGTTTTAATAGTATTAAATAAATCAATAAACAAGATGGTAGATAATGTGAAATGAATCCATTTGGAAATGATAGAAAATAATTATTCAGTAATTCTGTATAATTCCGCTAATAAATAATCAATCTACAAATTTATATTAAATGAAGGTTTAATTAAGATAATTTAAAAAACAATTTCTTGGAGATAAATACTCACTCCATGGGTGATAATATTAGCGATGTGTTCTACATAAGTTGGATTGTACTGTTGATTGTGGGACGGTCTGTCATTCATCCATTTTATCCTAAAAATAATTACAAACTTTAGATGATTGAAGCAATAGCAATAAATTACAATGACAGGAGTACCTACGATTTCATTGTCTGAAATGTGCTTCCTTTCAGCATCCTCAGTTGTGTCCAATATTTGGCAGGCATCATTATACAATTGCTAGGCTGATGTCTACTGACAAAACCTCTTAAACCTTATCCCCAACCATGACTGTCCTTGGAAGCAGAATTTGACAGATTAAGAAATTATATAACAATCCAGGAAGTGAGAATTCTCTACACATTTCAAATGGATTTCTCGAAAAAAAAAAAATTAGAAGCACAGCTGCGTAATGAGAAACAATTAATACCCTAAATGAAAGACAAGTTATTACAATCTAAGACCTAAACCTATTGATAAAAAAACTGATAAGGGGCGTCAGGTTATCCTATTGTTACATCTGATTAAGGTTAAATTATTGGTCTGGATTAGATTATTGGACTTATATATCGATACTGGTCAAATATCGTATCATATGTATCGATAATTCCGATTACTCGAAAAATCTTTCGGGCTGAAGCCCCATACCTCCCAAAAATTGAAGTCCTGGATCCGCAATTGGTCGTAGCACACCCATCCGAAATTCCAGGCGACAGACGTATCTACGATGGGGGCTTTTGGGCTGAATTAAAATATCGCAGAAACTAAAATTCGGACCTGCATACTGTAAGCAAGAGAAATTTTTAGCATTTCATCCTCTTTCTCATGACCCAATATTCAAAATTGCATCTTAACGCGACAGAGAGGAAATTTGCTTAAAATCCACGAAAGTTTTCAACTTTCTGAGGAGTTCAAATGGCTCTAAAACCTTAAATCGACCTGCAAGACCAGCATTTTCGTAATATCTAAAAGAAGTACTATCAGCCTGTTAGCTTGAAATTTTGCTTAAAATACTACGGACTACGGGGGGGGGCGGACTTTCTGGCTGAAGTCCCCCCAAAATGGTAAAATATAACTAGCCATTTTTTATGAAAAAATTATCTCTAAAAGTATTATTGTTAATCTAATTAAATTTAATAGGACTTAAAGAATCACTTAAACACCATTTCATATAGGTAGTTAGTTTCTTTCTTCCGAAGTAATTATTCTAATACATGCATACAAAAAAATGTTTTTCGGGCTGAAGTCCCCCCCAAAAATTAAATCCGGGATCCGTTAGTGATAAGGATGAAATAAAATTGTAGGAACATTTTAGTCAAAATTTCTTTACTGGGTCAGCTGACGTTTCGAACTGAATATGTGGGTCATCTTTAGGGCTATCGTTTGGAAGTCGAGACAAGAACTGTGAAGAAACGTCGGCTAACCCATTTAAGAAATTTTGACAAGAATTCCTAACAATTTTGTTTTATCCTTTATTTCAGTTCCGTACGACTTTTCGCCAGTGAGCTGGTTTGTTCGCTGACACAGACCATTTTGTGGGATTACGTAATTTGAACTTAAGGTACTCAATCTCTTAAAAACAGTGAAAGTAGAGCTAGACAAATTGCAGATAATTTACAATTACACTTGCTATGATGTGTTCCTCTTTTTTTTTTTTTTTTTTCTTTTCTTTTTCTCCCTTTCTTCATATTTACGACTGTACGTTAAGTTTTTTTCCCAAGCTAGGGGAGAGCGCGGGACAAGAGTTAAAAGTCCTCTTCCCCACCACAATCGGGGGATGTAATCTCAAGTTCATCAAGTGGTCGGGCAAGGCATGTTTTACACACGCGTTGGCCCGCACGATTTCAATAAGTTTAATGATGCAACATATCCATGCAATCCCACTTTGGGGATGCCTGAAGTAGCTCTAAGGTTATCAATTACTATCTAACAGATTCTGAAACACTTCACGTAATGCGAAGTTAATAATAGCAATTTACGCTATGAGGCGCTTGCTTATTTATTTAAATATACTCATTTATTTTTAGGTCAAATTTAAATAAAATTTTAAAATTGTATGCTGTTTTTTACTCATTTTTCACCATATGGGATCATTTAAATTATAGGTGGCAAGGAATGGACCAGTTCAAACTATGGAAGGGGGCGTCTCATCCAATAGGGATCCATGGATGCATTTTTAATATTTTTTATTTTTATCGAAAGTTTATGTATGAGTTATCTGTCTTAAGTTTGTTTGTTATCGTTAATTTGATCTAATCTATCAATTAATTGAAGTAATATTAAATATCATAATTGGTAATTGGTTGACTGTCGTGGATAATGAAGAGAAGAATAGTTGGGGTGCTCAGTCAAAAAAGGAAGGCAAAAAATAAATTATAATATTTAATATTAAATATATTCAATTAAATTAATGTATAATTTAGATGAGTACGAAGGGGGCAAGGGGAAATAACCACAGGCGGATCTACGGGGAGGGGGCTTTCGGCTGAAGCCCCCCCCCCAAAATGGTAAAATATATTCATGTTTTAGAAAAAAAAATATTTAAAACTATCTCTTAAAGTATTCTTATTCGTTTAATTACATTTAATAGGACATAAAGAACCACTTAAACACCATTTCATATAAGTAGTTAATTTCTTTCTTTTTTTTTTTTTCAAATTAATTATCGTTATATGTATATGAAAAAAAAAATCATCCGCTAGTGGAAATAACCAACTATACTAAGGTAAAGAGGCGGATCTACGGGGAGGGGGCTTTCGGACTGAAGCCTCTCCCCAAAATGGTAAAATATAACCATGTTTTATGGAAAAAAATATTTAAAAAATATCTCTTAAAGTATTATTGTTCGTGTAATTACATTTAAAAGGACTTTAGGAATAACTTAAACACCATTTCATATAGGTAGTTAGTTTCTTACTTTTTTTCCAAAGTAATTATCGTTATTTTTATGGAAAAAAAAGCTTTCGGGCTGAAGCCCTCCCTCCAAAATTAAATTCTGGATCCCCTAGTACTCAGGAACAAAATTGTCTTCAGGATCAAACACCTGCGATAACTTTTAGGTCTAAGTTGAATTTTCATTGAACTAATGATGTAATTTATTAAATTATTATATTCTTTAAATTAGATTAAGATAATAAAACAGAAATGATAATTATAAATCAATATTTATTATGATAGGGAACATGATTAAACGATCAGTATTCAAGAACAAATGGATTAAACAATATTAGTTAATAAAACTGAAAAATTTTAAAGATGAATTGATGCAATGTTGTGCGTGAGGAATGAATCAAATTAAAATTAATAATAAAAACAATACGTCTTAAACAAAATGTAAATAATACAAGAATTTTGACCTTGACATTATTCGGTTAGATTGTTTGAAAATTATATATATTATTTCTTACTTATTGTGATTGTGAAAGAGTAATTTAATGAAGTTAGGATCGAATTTAAAATAAAAAGAATATACTTCAGATAAGATTTTTTTTAAACGCTAATTTATGTATTTGAAATCAACAGACAAGCCCTCAAAGAATTGTGTTCTATTACAAAATAAATGTATGAAAAAAATACTTTTGTGTTGAATTTAAATAATAATGTTTTTTTTAAATTAAAAGTAAAAATGAAATTAGAATTAATTATAACTTTGTAATATAGTATAATAAAATATAACTGTGGTTGCCTGATCAAGTAGTCCTTTGTCATAAACATAAACACAGCTGTTAGTATGGCTCCAGTGTTTTCAGTTGTTAATATGTCTAACTGAAGGTCGTTTTGAGAAGAGAATTATTTTTACGTTTACCAAAGTTAAAATATTGGGTCTAATGAATTTTCTTTCGAGATCGTATGACTCTGCAAAAAATGGCATATTCGTCAGTTTCAATCAGGATTACACGTAAGAACGATTTCAAAAATATTAAATTTGAATAGGCAGTTAGGAACAAAGGAATAATTAATTTTTATTTGTTTGTTGTAAAATCTTGTTTGTTTTATACTTGTGTAATTATACAATACCCATACTGCTTAATTATAATAATTTGTTTGAAATTTAATAGAAAAATATTTATTTTCAGATCCTTGTCAGTCAGTACTTGTAATGGATATAGAATATTATCCCTTAACACAATCGAACAACCCCTTGAAATTTGTCAAAGCGGTAAGATTTTTCAATAATTATAATTTTTGGTGTTATTAATGTTTTTTTTTGTAATTCAAGATGGTTGAATTGTTTGTTTACATCTTTTGTGTTGTATACATAAGTGTTCTTGTGTTAATTTCTATGTAAACATACTCATGTTATTGTTCTAAACCTCATTTTTAAAAATAATTTGTGTGTTCAAGGGTATTCTTTTACAGTGTGTCAAGCAGCCTTGAATTCCTTGAAGTTTGAATATTTTGTATATTGAAAAAATCAAGAATTATACTTGAAATATTTCAATTATTGGGAATTTTTAATGTTCATTTTCCATCAGAACATAGGAGTATATGTAAAACATATTGAGAAGAGGGTTGTAGTGGCTCCCTTTTACATTTAATTTTCAAAAAACTGGAAAAGAATTTGCTTTGTCTGCCAATTTTTTTAATAAACACATGCTTGGTTTGAAATATATTTTTTTAAAAAAAAGAAAAGTATTGTTTGTCTAATTATTAATATATTGAATAAGATTACTATTATTTAATTATATTTATTAAAGTTCAAAAGTAACTAAAATTTTTAAATAACTTACAATATATTTTATTTTCTTTGGTTAAATAAATTTGTGATTAAAATTTTAATGAAATTCTTTCCAAGTGAGAATTTTATTTATTTAGTCTTGAAATTATTGTTTTTGTTTTATATTTACTAATCATTTTTACCTTCAGTAATGCATTGAACTCATTGTTTGAAATTGAGTTTAATTTTTTTTTCATTTTCAAACAGAAATAAAACCTTTTTAGTTATTCAAATTATGTCTTAATTTGTCATTTCATCAGAAACTGACAAAATGCAACATTTACTGATTCAGATTTTGATTTAAATTTAATCTTATAAATATAGAAAAGTGCCTTGAATTTTTAAGTCCAGATTCTTAAACTAAGTTCTAATTTGTTCTTGCTATTTCACTGAACATGCAAGTTATACCACAATTGCAACATTTTTGTTAATCTAATTAGTGATATTTATTTTTTCTAAGTTAAGAAATGATTTTAATGCCCATCTTTCTCTGACAAAATTATAAAATTATTTTTACTTAGCATTATAACACAATGAATAGAAATGTCTATATTTCAACTCTTAATTGTTAAGGTTTTTTTTTTTTTGGTTTTTTTTCTGTAAGCCATATCTTCATCAATTTTTCATCAAATCCAATGATGGATTCCCCTTTTTGAATATCTTCTTCAGTTGGGAAAAGTAAACATCCCCCAAAATCTCCCAAAAAAGTTAAGACTGAAAAGAAACTTTATTTGTGAATAATTATAAATTATACATTTTTTAGTGAATTACATTCATGATTATTGGATTACATTCATGATTATTTGAAAGAATTCTAAACTCTCTTTAAAATACCAAAAAAAAAAATCATGGTACTTGGACTATTATTATCGAAGATGTAGATTATTGTAGTTTACAATCATTTTGGTTTGAAACTTGAATGAAGTTTTTCAATAATTTATTTTTTCTTTAGGCGATTACAGTTACCGAGAAAATAAGAATAGAATACTTCACCTTAGGATAGTTTTATTATTTTGTTTCCTTACTATTTTGTCTTTTGTTCACTGAACAATATTCTATCCGATTCTCACTGGCCAACTAGTATTAATAATTATTTATACTGAGTTATATTGAATAATGACGTATTTTAAAGGGGTTGGTTTCAGTTAAAAAATGTAAAAATTAGCAAAAGAAGTAACAACTTTTTTTAGAATATTTACAAAAAATATTTTTTTAAAATTTTCACCTGTAACCCAAAAGAATCATTTGGTCATCAAGTTTGATGGTATGGTAAATTAAGTTTAACTGTGTAATGCCACTTTGTCGATCTTATTAGGACTACAGTCCTAAAAGAATGAGTGAAATAAAATTGGTAAACCGACAAAAGAAATTCGTTAAACCGAACTGGTCAGCTTTTCAATGAATTTGCCAATAAAACTTTATTACACTAACTCCCAGTTGTCTGAAGGACATATTTTTTTTATTATTAATTAATTTAATTTATATTTTCCTTTAGTACAAATTTTAATAATATATAGTTAAATAGATAGAAAATAACTTTATTCTGGGACAAAGTCCCTTGAGAATAACAAAATAGAACAAAATTAAAAGATCACATTTGGCCTAAATAAAAACTATAGAAAAAAAGAAAAATGTAGAGAAAATATAAGGTATACAAAACAAAAGAAACCATATACAAAACACTTAAAACTACGACTAGACACTTAAAACTATTTGCAGTGATAAACCAGTATATACTTTTAAGTAAACAGTAAAGAAAAATATATTAAATTTTCATTAAAATAAGCTTTGTGTTTCTGTTGAGAAAAGAGAAAGCTGCATACATTCTTTATATAATATATACTATATACTTTAAAGTATATATTATATATTAAAGTATATATTATATTTATTATATATTATATTCGTATATAAGTGTATAGTATTGTTATATTTGCTTTGCATGCTCATTGAAAGGGTTTCTTTTCTCTGACTTATTTAGTTTTATTTTTTGCCATTTTAAAGGTCTGTAGAGTGAACCAAAATGTATAAAAACATTAAGTCTGAACATTCACAGCTGACATCCTAAATTTTTAATGAGTTACTTTTTACTGGATCGATACCAAATATTTCAGTCTAAAGGATGTGTGAAATTAAAAGTACTTTTATCTTGCGATGGCATTGACCCCATTTGTCAATCAGTGATGTCTTATAATTAACATTGAAAAATCTTTAATTTTTACTTTCACTTACCTAAACTTAAAGATTTCTGTTAAAGGATTAATTGTAAATAATGTTTTGGTGGGAATAGGAAATATTCCTCCTGTTTTTATATCGGCGTACTTGGTTATTTCCACTTGTGAATATTTAAAACAAAACCCCGTCACTGGATATAGACTTTTTGAGGGTGTTCAACTGTTTTTAGGAATTTGGGAATCTAATAACTTGTGACACTCGGTGAGAAGAAACAATAAGAATATATATATAAAATGTGGGACTGAGTAAATAAATACACTTTGAATGAATTGACTCACCTAGTTAATTATTCTTCAATTGTGAGCCATATTGGACAACTAAATAAAATGACTTTTCACTCCTGTATAATAAAACAATTTATTTTAACAACTGTAATAAATGAATGTATAAAAGTGTTATAACTAACTGTAGGCTTGATATTCTTAGTCTTCAATGTAGTAAGCCTCTCTTCCCAGGTGACGTCTTCTCGTCTTCCTGTTCAGGCCTCAAGTGCTCTCGCCTCCATGTCACAGCCTCAAGTTCCTCTTCTCTCCTCTCCCTGGCGTCTTTCTCCAGCTGCTGCTACCTGACCGGACCTTTTTCCTTCTTCATCGATTGTTTATCGATATGAGACTTTTCAATGAACAATTTGTCTACTGCACAATTGTGTACAATTCACAGTGCAACCTCACATTCCTATATATTATATATTCCTTCTCATACCCTCACACAATGTCACATAAAGGATTAAATACAGCGGGATGTCTACTACAATATGAAATATATAGTAAAGGAAAGTATTGTGATCGTGAAAATTTTCGAGTCTGAGTTTTCAACGGAAATTTACGTTTTGAGATTCTCTGAGTCCAAATAACCAAGTCCCGCAAAATGGTCTGTATGTGTGTGTTAATAGTCTAGCTCAAAAATGAAAAGTTGTTACAAAAGTGAAATTGCATATTTAAGATTTTTATATGCTGGGGATGTTACAGTAACTTTTTCCATCAAAATTAACTGACCGGAAGTGGCACTTTATATCATGGGCTAAACACATTTTTACAATTTTCTCGGAAACGGCTATAACAATTTTGATTGATGTTCTCTAACAGGGCTTAAATGGCTAATTTTCAATATTAGCTTCCTCTAAAGTACCTTTAATTTTTTTTATTTGAAGGAATTGACTATTTCACATTAATCTCTAACATTAAAGATAGTTAAATATAAAATATGAAAGAATTTGATTATTAACTAAAAAAAAAAAAAAAAAAAAAAAAAAATAAAAAAAAAAAATTAAAATAAATAAATAAATAAATAAAACCTGTACCACTAAAACCCATAAAGGGTCTGGGGTTCAGTACCATTTATGTTATTTATTTATTTGGTAGTTCATACATAGTTAATATATTTTTCGAAGTAACAAAACTCCAGACCTTTCTCAATTTCCAATTCAATTTGGTGCTACCTTCACCATCGTAACGTTTTATCTTGGATATTGGAATCCAAGAATCGTATATAAAAAAAAAGAAAACATACTAATATTAAGTTATAATATACTGAGCATTGCATTTACATACAAAAAGCAGCTGCATCGATAAAAGTATAAAAGAAAAATATACATACATTCATATACATACATAAAATACAGACTATATATAAAGTAATTTTAAAAACCACGGAGGTAACAATCCCTCCGCAATATAAGTCATAAAAAAGTAGTACTATAGTACATATCTAAATAAATAAAATAAAAAAAATAATAAATAAATAAAATAAAAAAATAATAATAAAAATGAAATAAATAAATAGATAAATATAATAAAAAATAAAGATAAATAAAACAAAACGTAAAAATGTAAATTATGACATCGATATAATCATTGAGTATCATGCTATAAACGAGGAAGCAGCCTGAACCAATTACTGTAATTCATGTGGGACCCTTTAAGGACTCTTATTGTAATAGCGTTCATCGTTCTCTTGGGAATTCCCAACATATCCATGTCTTGGAAAGATCTTCGGCACCATATTCCTCTCCAAGTTATTGTGAGCGGCAGTACTTTTATGTCCACGCCTGGCACTCCCAGTGTACGCCCGATCGCCATCCTGCAATCTAGGTCCCTATATTTATTGGCTTTGACATTGTTCCAGTGAGTGGCGCTAGGGTTATCCCCGACGACCTGTGCATCTATAATGAAGTGTCCGCTTAGTCCTGAGCACACCAGGTCTGGCTTCCACCTTCGTCTATTACCAACAAACATTTGCTCCTTTGTGACCCTGTATCCTTTTTTTTGGAGAGCAATTTCCAACATGTTCACTATTGTATCATGCCGACGCACTCTACCACCGTGAGACAAAATGCAATGTTGAATAATATGGCTGGCAGTTTAGCTTGCAGGACACCCAGCTCTGCATTGGGTCGGCATAAAAGCCCTACGTCCTCTGGATAATCTCACTCGGGTCGCGAGGACATTTATATGAGTTCTTACCGTCTGTATGAAGGTCCGTCCAGTTATCGGAGCCGCGTAGTCTGTCAACCAATGAGTTGATGGGTGGCAGTTTTTTGATTCCCTTAATGCCTTACCATCAACGCTACGATATAACTTCATGGACAGCGTTTTCTTTCGTTCTTCACTGGAAGTGTTTTCCGCGTTGAGGCCCATTTTCGTGAGGTTGCTTGTGAGTTTTCTCATTTCCTTAGTGATAAAGGAGGAATGATAGGCGGCTCTTGCTACTGGGCAACCAGAGTATTCCATACGTCGTAACCTCGCGAGCTTGAGTGAGGGTATAGCACTGCTATAGCATAAAAAAAAACAAAAAAAAAACCCTGTACCACTACAACCCATAAAGGGTCTGGGATTCAGTACCATTTAGGGAAAGCACTGTTTCTAGGTCAACGGTTGTGCAAGGAGGTGATTTGACCGAGATCACGCTCAACCGCCAGGTTTTCCCCCTTAATTAATTATTTAATTAAGGGTACCCACTTTATAGAGGCTGGGTGTGCCCCAGGAGGGATTCCTGACCCAAGGTCGCTCCACGGTCCATGAAACAGATAAATTAATTTTCTGCCATGAGCCGGGGTTCGAACTCGGGACCTTTGCATTGGAAGCTCAGTGCCCTACCACTGAGCTACTCCGCTCCCTTAAATACGCTTAAAGTACCTTTAATTTTTTTTATTTGAAGGAATTGACTATTTCACATTAATCTCTAACATAAAAGATAGTTAAATATAAAATATGAAAGAATTTGATTATTAACTAAAGGAGAAATAAACAATCCTTACTGAGAATAGTTGTAATTGATTGTACCCGAGCTCACCTGAAAGGTTATAACAGTCTTCCATACACAACATGAGCTTAATATAATACGGGCTCCAAAAATATTGTATAAATATAAATATGCGGTTTTCATAAATGCTATTGTTGGTATTATTTAATATTTAATTGTATAGATTACATTGATATAAATATTAAAATTTGTATATATATATATATAAGGGTACTTATACATATAAAAATACACACAATGAAATATAAATAATTATAGCGTCTATAATTTTTACTTTCATTTCTTCTTTGTCTGAAAATACTTATTTCTGCTGAGAAGACGGTGGCAAAGTGAAAGTTGTGTGATGCGTGCACCGCACCAGATTTTTTTAAGTTGAAGTCATGACCAGCGGATTCATTTAGATAAGACATAAACAAAAATGAAGTGGATTGATATGTAGTATGAATTGACTATTATATTAAATATACTTGAATTCTTTAATTTTATGTTGATTTCTATTTTTCAGAGACTGAAGACATTTGTATAGTTGAAAGGCTGTTCAGCAGCTCCTTGCTGGCGATGGTCAGCCTGAGCTCCCCTCGGAAGCTGAAGGTCTGCCATTTCAAGAAGGGGACAGAGATCTGCAATTACAGTTATTCCAATACGATACTCGCTGTGAAGCTTAACCGGGCTGTAAGTAAAGTTAATTATTTTAAATAATACTATGAATTTTGATCAAATATACTTACTTACTTATTTAAATAATACTATGAATTTTGATCAAACATACTTACTTACTTATTTCTGTTGTTCCAACATGGGATACCTCTTCAGGTTAGAGCCTAGCACCACACATCTCTATCCTCCCAGTCACCCTCCTGTAGACCTCGGCCGGACATCTCCTCTCGGACATGTGGTTCTCGGTCGTCCTCGCCTACGCTTTCCGAGCGGCTGCCAGTCCAGGACTCTGTTAGGCCAATGCTCTTCCTGTACTCTTCTGCAGTGCCTATACCACCTCAACCACCGTTTTCCGATCCTCTCAGAGACAGTCTCCTCTACACCTATTCTCTGTCTCACCACTTCGTTTCGTACTCTGTCCAGCCTCGTTAACTGTAGATACCTTCTCCAAAAGTCCATTTCTATAGACCGTATTTTGGCTTGCTGCCATGCTTCACATCCATACGTTTATACAGACTCGACAATAGCTGTGAAAATACACTGCTTGTTCACGTTCGAAATAGTGTTGTTCCAGAGGACAGGGTGCAGCATTCTAGTTGCTTTTCTTGCCATCTCTACCTTGTTTTGGACATCCATGTCGGACGTTCCAACATCGTCCAGATAGGACCCGAGGATTTAAATGCCTTTAGTCTTTTGCACATCTGATAACAAATGTAGATATTCTTCCTCATCTCTTAGTGCCTTATACTCAGTCTTTTGGAAGTTTATTCTGAGACCTGCATCTTCATAAACTTTCTTTAAATGAACAACCATCATCTCCAGGAAAACTTTCTTCCGGGCCATCACTTCCTGATCGTCTGCGAAGAACAGGGTAAGGAGCTCGTCGTCATCAAAGTAAACTCCGTAGCTCCGACTTCTTCTCATCCATTGCTTCACTAACTTATCCAAGTATATCTTGAAAATGTTTGGAGACAGACAAAACCCTTGCTTCAGCCCTTTGGTTCCAGAAAATGGTTCCGAGAGGCGGTTCTCAATCTTCACTGTGTACAGATCAGTTCCATGCCAGTGTTGAATTGTTTTTATTATGGATTCATTTATACCTGCTCTTCTCAGCGCTGGACATATTCTTGGTTCTGGCCTTATCCAATTATATGCCTGCCCCAGATCAATGAAGGCTAAATGAAGCTCCCTATTCTTCGCCCTGCATTTCTCAATGAGCTGGCAGAGTTCAAAAATATTGTCCATGCAGTATCTCCTGGCAGTGAAACCAGTTTGTACCACCGATATGGTGTACTCCCCTTCCAGCTTATCCAGGACAAGTCTCCCCACAATTCTACTTACTGAGCTCTGTACACAGATGCCACGATAATTCTGGCATTGCTTCCCGTCTCCTTTTTTAATGATGGAGCAGATGTATCCTGTTCGGAGTTCATCAGGCCGATCACACCCTTTCAGGGCCATGTTGGTCACATTGGTAAGGAGTGTAAGCATCTTATCTCCGCCGGCCTTTAACAGTTCCATATACAGGCTCCTCCTCCCCCCCAGGTCCTGGAGCTGGTCCGCTTTTAGCTCTGCCCAGTCGGGCTTGGAGTCTTCCTGTGCGTTGCCCTCTTGTGCCATAAACTTCGCCCTGCTTTCGTTAGGGAGGGTCTCATAATGTTTTTTCCATGTGGCCTCACTGATAAAAGAAATAATATTGCCTTTATGTGGTGCCCTCAAACTCTTCAAAATACACACTAGGCTTCAATCGGAGTGAGAGAAGCTTAAAGTATTTTCATCAAATATAAAAAGGGTATTAATAGCAATTTCTACTGTTAACTATTTATTCTAAAATATTTTATGATACGCTAAAATTATTTATTAAAATAAATGAGAATTTAAAGTAATATATAATGTTACTTATTTTAATAAATCTTAGATTGAATAATATCAATAGCTTAAAGAAAATTGGAGTAATCATTATTCCTGTTAATTATTTCGAAATACTACATCATTAGTTCATCGTGAAAAATCATTAAGCAACATTTTAGTGAGTGAAATCAGTAAATTGTGCGCTTAGTGTAAGTAATGTTGACTTATTATGAGTTTTATTTTTAAATATATTTACTCTTAATGAGTTTTTATATTAAAAATAAGACCCAAAATCAGAAATATACAACTAATAGTCTGTGGTACAGACCCCTTTTCGTCCAATTATTAACATCCGCCAGAAGCCGCTTGAATAGCTTCTATCTCATTATAACCTACAAATATTTTATTCATGAAAATTCTTGGAATGAGCGCATTTTCAATCTGGAGATCAGCAAACTGTTTATTTAATTAGGTAATGAAAACTCACCAATACCCATTTGCTTTCCACTTATATTATATTATCATAACCATCACCATAAGATAATATTATCAAAATATCAAAAAAAAGGATGGCAAAAAAAAAATTAGTTCATCTGCCATGGCCAAACGGCCTAATATTTTTGTAGGACTCATTTTTTTTTTCCGATTTTGTGATCATATTAACTCACGATTCAGGTGGAAAACAAATGAGTTTTTAGTTATTAATTAAATAAACAAAGTTTGGTGATCTACAGACTGAAAACGTGCCAATTCCGAGAATTTTTGTTAATAAAATATTTGTAGGTTACGATGAGTTAAAGCTATTTACTAAGTTTCATGCAGATGTTAATAATTTGATGAAAAGTGGTCTGTACCACTGACTATAAAAGTTGAACTCATTCAAAAGTGTACTGTGTGACTTACTGTAATAAACCAATGGTATTATAGTGAGTTTGTAGATTAGCAGAAAAAAAATTGTCTTGTTCATTCCGCTTTATTATATTAACTAACAAAGGAAACAGATTTTATATAATTAAATACAATGACAGTACACATAGTATTAACATAATTTTAGTTTATTATTTTCAATTACCGACCTTTGTAATCAAACAAGAAAAAAAGAAGTTGACCCCTTCCTCTCCCTCAATATTTTAGGTTTCATATTTCAAGATGTGTAGAATCGGAAAATTGAATAAAAAAAAATTCATCCGTCTGTACACCGTTTTAAACTTATTAATCCTCTAAAATATAAAATTATCATTAAAATATTAATCTATAAAACTTTGTTCTCCCTCATTTCTTGCAGACTTTTTCTAAAAACGGGCCTAAACGACAAGTCAATTTGTCTAAGTATAAACTAAGTTTTACACTTTTTTTTCTTAACTTTTCATTTTATTTAATAAATAATGAAGTTGACATGGCGATGATTATAGATAAGTCTAAGATGTAGAGAAAAAAATTATTTTACTTTCACTTACTTATGTATGAAATTTTAGCTGAGGAGATTATTATGTAGCCCGAGTTGCTAATGGAAATATATGTTTTAAGATCCTCAAAATCCTAAGAAATATATATTGCTATAAGGCCTAAATGACTATAAATATGATATTGCTTTTGTTATTATAGTTTTGTTGATTATATTATTATAGTTTTGTTGATTGTAAATGATATGAACCCTCCCCGTACAGAGGCTGGTCGTCTGCTTGGAGGAATCGTTGTACATCCACAACATCAGGGACATGGCCGTTCTGCACACGATAAGAGACACCCCTCCGAACCCAAGCGGGCTTTGCGCCCTATCGACGGACAGCGACAACTGCTTCCTCGCCTACCCTGGCAGCTCTACGATAGGGGAAGTTCAGATATTTGATACGGTTCATCTGGTAATTCACTATTATATTATATTTTAGAATTATTTTAATATCTTGGCTTAATTATATTAATCTATATTTCAGATCCATCATTTAAGAAATTATTTATAATAGGGGTATTGGTATTCATGCACTTGTTGTAAATGCTTAATGTGCTATCGTCCTAAGCAGACAGCGCAAATTTTGAATGAATGATAATTAACCTGTCTGTGCTAAAGTGTTATTAGCTATAGTAAGATTATGCCTGTACAAATTAAGACAATCTACTTAGTATAATCCTCTCAATATTTTAATTTGATTCCCCTGCGCGGGTAGTTCCGACTTTCAGCGTAGTTTTCCATCCCGTCATCAAGTTGGAAAGGAGCCTGCTTACTTTAGATTCAACCTTGTATATGCCTAGTACTTTAAGTAGCCAGCTGTGTGGAACCGAGTCAAAGCCCTTTTTATAATCGATCCAGGCCATAGAGAGGTTTCGCTGTTTTTTCGAAACTTGTGCTGCAATGAACTATTACTAAGAGTTCTTTACAACCCCTAGTTCCTTTTTTCCACTCTAGCTGTTCTATGGGTATCATATTCTCACTTTCACGGTGCTCAGATATCTTAGTTGCCAAGAGGAAATTAGAATTTTATATAGACCATTTAAACACGTTATTGGCCGAAAATCTTCAGGACGCATGTTTAAATCATTCTTTTTCGAAAGCATATACGTGATGCCATCAGAGAAACCATCAGGGACCTCTGTTTGTCTTCAAGTATTTCCTGGTAACCTTTGGCCAGCAATTCATGGAAGCAATGAAATCTTTTAATCCGATAATTTTGGATACCGTCAGGTCCTGGTGCCCTCCAATTTTTCATGTTCCTCACAGCTTCCGAAACATCTTCCACTGTTATGGTCACTTCCATCATTTCATTGGCATTCTGAAGACTTTGCAGTTCTTCTTGTATCCAAGAGCTCTCGAGGTGATTCCCCGATTGTTCCCATAAATTTTTCCAATAGGTTTCAATGCCATCAGGGTATTTGATCGATATTTTTTCTTTTACTAGGTTTCTATAAAACTGTCGTTCATTCTACTTGAACAGCTGATTTTGTTTCCTGCGTAAAGCTGCCTCACTATACGCAATCTGCTGGCGTTAATTATCAGCTTTTGTTTCAGAATATCTAAATATAGAGTGAGTCTATCAATTAACTCACTTTCCATTACTGTTCACAAATTCTGTACTATAATCTCATCTATCTTCCTTTTTGTCTTAGGTTTTGCAGCTTGAGGGTTACGAATATAGTTTAAGATGTCCCCAATTTTTCCACGTAAGGTATCAATTTTCCTTTGAAGTCTTCTCTTCCACTGTGGTATTCCACTATATCCAGTTGGAAGTTTATTTTTACTTTTATCTTCCATTTTTATGCCCTGTTCTAATGCAACTATCTTGGCAGCAATATATAGCCAATGAGGAATATCTTGAAGGCCATTAATTAAGGCTATATTATCCTTAAGAACATTATTCATTATATTGATTATTTTAACTGTGGCCTTATTATACGGTACTCGTGGCAACGATGGTCGCTCCTGAAGCGCTATTCCCTTAAGCAGAATATGCTCAGTCAAAAGTAATTGACTCAATCTATTTTCTGTATCCGCGTCATCCAATTATCTTTATTACCGACTGATGCATTGATTACACCAGCGTCTAAATCTTTTCTTGTATTTAGAGCTCCATCAGAGAGCTCGACATCATTTTCAGTGGCCATTAACATACGAACTTCGTTTTTAAGTTGTTGGAGGTCATTTGAAGTAAGAAAATTCCTCATAAGTATTACTCTTACCTGATCACTCAGTCTCTGTGTGTTTATATTAATATCTGGGAAGGACTCAGGCCAGTATCTCTGTATACGGTTCAGATATCCTGTTTTCTCTGTTTCAAGTTTTGTTGCCAAGTAGTACGCTCGGATGACAGCCATTTATTATTTTTATTATTATTAGATGTTTTTTTAATAACTTTAGTTGTTCAACATTCAACTTCTATTTTTTATTCAATGATTAGTTATTCTTTTGCGCTATTTCAGAATTGCAAAATGATGATTGCTGCTCACGATTCACCGTTAGCTGCAATGATGTTCAGCCCCAACGGAAACCTGATTGCCACTGCCTCTGAGAAAGGGACTGTCATACGTGTATTCAATGTTGCCGATGGTGTAAAGCTTCACGAGTTCAGGCGTGGTGTCAAGAGGTCATTATTAATTATCAATTGAAGATTGATTAATTATTTAAATATGTCTATGAACATAAGTTTATACATCTTATTCTTTAAAAATAATGTACCTGCTACTTGTTTATAACTTGCCCAGGCATTGAAATTTGACCTAAAAAATAATATTGTTTAATTGTTGGAATTTATTCATACAGCTAAGGTAAGCATGAATCACTCTGTTTTCTTTGTAATCAAATGTAGTGGCCAACAAATCTACTGAGACCAATAATATAATGACAATTATGAATCGGCAGTCTATAACATAACAAAAATATGCTTGAAACATAATTAAAACAAAATTATTGAATTTTTAACATTAGCATATAAGACATTAAATAAAAAAAACAAAAGAATTGTGATTCTGATTCTTGTAAAAATATTTTTTATTCTTATACTTTTAGGTGTGTAAATATTTATGGACTCGCTTTTTCACCGGATGCTTCTTTGCTAGCTGCAACTTCCAACACTGAAACGGTGCACGTCTTCAAGCTCGAAGACACTAGAGATGAAGCGTAATTGTTTTTTTGTTTTTTTTTTAAAATTAAGTTCAATATAGTTTCATTTTTTAAATCTTTCTGTTATATAAAAAAGTTTTTAGTGACTTTCATATTTTATTTTGTTTTAGTATTAGGAGAGTAAGAGATAAAAAAGAACTCAATTTATTAGGCGATTATTTTACAAATTATACAGCTATTCATTTAATTACATATATGTTGACCTCCTGTTATCTCCTATTCTCCTAATACAAAATAAAGATTTTAGATTGTGACTTACAATATTAGAATACAATATATTTATTATTATATTATATATAATATTATTTATATTGTGATATAATTATAACTAATAGAAAAGGAAGCATAATGTAACAACGTACAATGAAAATATTAGTAATAAAAGGCTCAAATTATTGTTGAGCTTGTTTGAAGCTGGACAAATTGGCTATAAGAATAATTATAATTACATAGTAATGTTACAATGTTTATTTTATATTGATAAAAAATACTGCAATCTGATCTGAACTATATAGGATACATGTAAATTAAACTTATACAATTTGAGCTACGAGTAGTTGAGTTGTATAATTTGTGAAATAATGGGTTAGTCCACCATTAGGCGGACCACCATTAGTTATTAAGCTGGTAGTTAATACAACTATTTTGGAATTAACCAATGCCAAACCTGAGGAAATTTGGGCTCTTTAATTTGCTAGGGCTACATAAATTCTTTACATACTTTTTCTTTTTCTGATTTAATTTTGTATTTATTAATTTTTAATCTGTGAGGCACATGTTTGGGTCGAAATTACAAAACATAATTTTTTGACTGCACATCCACACCATTTTTCATATTTACAATTCTAGCTGTCAACTATCTATCTATCTCTGAGGCTTTTAAACGAAGAATGATTTCTTTCGACATTAATTTAATTTTTTAAAAATAATAGGATACATAAGAAAAATTAAACTTTACGAATTATCATAATGTATTTGGAATTGTTGAAGAAAGTTAGTCGACCGTTCTACATATCATCTATGATAATGTATTTTGATGAAATATTGTAAGCAGCCTCTTTAGATAATTATATGGTGTTTTCTCATTAATTAATTAATTAATTCTAGTTCAGAAATTTTGAAAATCTGGCACTACTAATCCCAATTCAGGTAGGACCTTAGGGAGATCGTACTGTATTGTACAACTTTATGAATCCTGTAATTTATCATAATAACAAAAAAAAAAAAGAATGTTAAATCTAAATGTTATTACAAGCTTTTTATGTTATAACAGGGGACAGGGGAGCTCCGACGACAGTGGACAAAGTTGGATGGGATACTTGAGCAAAGCCGTAGTGGCCTCCGCGACTTACTTACCGATGCTCCAGATGAGTGTCCTCAGCCAAGGCCGAGCGTTTTCGTGCGCGCACCTACCTCAGCACGGTCACAGGAACATCTGCGCTCTCACCGAGTAAGTACTCTTTCATTCATAGGTTGAAGTGGGTGGATCTTATGTTATTTTAGTAAGTTCTCTTTCATTCATAGGTTGAAGTGGGTGGATCTGATTTTTATTATTAATCTTATTTTTTATTTGTCTACAATTTCTGTCGGGAAGATTCCCATAATTGATCTCATTAATAAAGAATAATAAAATATCCATTGCTCAAGCAGAAAAACGTTATGTGCGTTTTTGAAATTTGGTGTTTTTTAACCAACTTTAAGGAAATTCTCAATACAATTTCTTATTCAGTGAATAATTCACACAGGTCAGTGAACAAATGGGATTATAATATGGTAATAAGTAAATGGAATATATAATAATAAAAGATTTAGCAAACTCGAAGGTCTGATGCCGACACCACCAATCGCCGTCCTAACCCAGATCGGCTTTAACACAATCTTCCCACCTTCAATTCGGTCTATTCCTTGGACGTTTACCAGTCGAATGTATAATACATTATAATATCTCTTTCTTTTTTAAGCTAATAATATAACCTCGGAAGATCACTTCATATTGTAGCAATACTTCCAAATTAAATAAGAGGTTGTTAAATAATAAACAAAATCATAAGAGTATTAATATATTAAATTGAAATTTATAGTTATTTTATTTCAGGTATAGATTACTGACAAACAGATTAAAAACACTCAGACAAACTAAAACTAATTACACTAAACACTGTTTGATTTTAAAATAAAGTGAAGAACAAATTGGCAAGCTAACCTTTTTTCTATTCTATACACTTCTTCCTTTGTCTCACTGAATTCATTTGTCTTCTAACATTTTCCTGTGTTCAGCCAAGCACACCTTCCAAAATGGTGACACTTTCCTCTACTCAACTCAAGCTCCCTGGCAGATGCTCTCTCTTGTATTTCTTAACAACTGGTAGCTCAGCCGTACAACAACAGCTTGCCAAAACAAAAATGATTAGTTAGTCCTTCTTCTCTTTGAGGTTTTTCTTTTGGAGCAGCCATTTTCTTTTCTCTGAATTAGTGAAACTATTGTTAAAATTTAAACATCCCCTGACATTAGTAGAACTAGATTAGCTTGCCTTTTAACTCTTTAACATTTATTTACTATATCATTTTTACCAATTTCCAATAAAGGTGAATTACAATATATATAAGGAGAAATTAATTTTCTTTTCTTCAGTTGGTATATAATGGTTAATTAAAAAAAAGGAACCAAAACATGTTAGAAAATTAAATAGTTCGTATATTTGCTAATAAAAAAAAAAAAACCTGTAGCACTACAACCTTGTTCTTGGATTTTGTACTATGTGAGGAAATACTGTTATGCAGGGAGCTGATTAGGCCAATATCATGCTCAGCCACCAGGTTGTCTCCCCTAATTAATTATTTAAATAAGAATATCCACTTTATAAAGGTTAGGTATGCCCCAAGAGGATCTCCCTATCCCAGACTCTATCCATGGCTGATGTAAGAGAATAAATAATTATCTGCCATTAGCTGGATTTAAAACCAGGGCATTGAGTGTTAGAAGTCAATGCCTTACCAACTGAGCTATCCTGCTTGGCCTTGAAACAGTACTTCTTTACAAAGTACTAAACCAAAGTTGTAGTGGTACAGATTTTTTTCCTTGTTCACTGATGGATTCTCGGGGAGAGGGCTTTCGGAGTGAATTCCCTTCCCCCTAAGTATTAATTTTGTTTGTTCTGTTCATATTTGTTTCTGTGAGAATCTTAAGCTAAATATTTCGGTAATCACCCACCCTCTCTCTTTACCCGCGAAAAACCCGGCATAGCCGAAAAGGCTAGGTAGAATAGAAAAGAGACATAATGCTGTATATTTAAATAATCACAATTTGTATAGTTTAAATTTTCAACACATATACAGCAACTAAAGTAAAGGTAAGCACTTGCCAAGAACCTGGATATAACTAGCATAGTCATCAGCCGTGGATCGAGTCTGGGGCCTGGAGCTCTGGAAGTCAACGCTCAGCCACTTAGCTCCCTCGCTAATAATATTCTTTATTTAATTGATTTTTTAATTTTTATTTGGAAGTAATTTAGAAACTTTTCAAATTATCCTTGAGAAGATAAATAAAGGTCGTAGTAGCCGGACATTTTACACCCTGTTCTAGCATTCTTGGGCTTAACGACACCGGTTTAAATCTGGCCTGGGCGGAGATAGAAATTTCTTTCGTGATAAATTCATAGAATTAATCTTGACCATCTCACTCTGATTAAAATAAGTTTGGTCCCCCCACTACAGGTCTCAGGTGCACAGTATATTATTTAGCTCGCGTAGATGTCTCACTGGTGGGCTCAGGCCACATCTCCAGTTCCCCCGATACAGCTCTCATGTGCACAGTTATGTCAAATGCAATCAAATTTTATATTAACTTGAATTATGTTGCATCTCAAATTTATTTATTTATCCGTACCTGTCAATTACAACTATTGACAATCAGCAGATAAGATGAAAGAAAAAATCAATCATAAGAAAAAATAAATAATAGAAAATCAATAAAAAAGGCTTGATAGGCATGAAGAAAAGCAGTATCACTATTTGTTAAGTCCAAATTGCTTACCTCCTCATGTTGTTACGGTTCTACCATCTGAAATCTGCTCAACCTTTGTTTTGTTTTTTGTCTTCAAAAAACACTTTTGCTGCCCAAAAAATTGAGTTTTTATACTCAATTAACACTTTTTAGGAGAAACAAAAGCAAATTAACCTCTTTCATTATTTAACATCAACAGCTGCATCTCAAATGTACATGATTTTTTTTTTCCATCCAGAAGTTTTGCCATGCAAAGTATCTTATTAGATTGTTTAAAACACTCTTGATAGAGCTGGGCGGGCTAGTTGTAATATAATCTAAAGGATTACAATATTACTTACCTATAATAAGAGGTAGGTTACAAGAATCTGGACACAAGCTTTGTCCTAGATCTTTTGGAGATCTAGATAAATTTGAACAAGATAAATTTGGTTCAGATTTATTATTGTTCCTTAAAAAGTTTTTACTTTTTTACAGAATTCAGAAAGTGTTACGCCTGTTGGTCGCGTCTTCAGATGGGTACCTGTATATATATAACATAGACAAGGCCGAAGGTGGTGATTGCAATCTCATTAAGCAGCACAGGTATTATTATTACACTAAGTTAACTAACAATATCATTAACACCCGTTATATCATTAATATATAACATAAGTTTAATATTAGCGTAGAGATGGTTTACCGTGATGATAATATTAGGAGTTGGTCAGGGAGTGCTGTCAAATGAATACTATATATCAAAATAGTATTTTATTATTTACGCCACCGTTTCGACCCACTTTGTAGGTCTTCATCAGTGTGTGGTATCGGGCGTTGCAGGAAGCAGTGTAGACAGTCTACCAACTATTTTGATATATAGTGTTCATTTGACCGCACCCCCCGGCCAATTCCTCATAAGTTTAATACAATATATCATTATTACGTAATATTAGTAGTAATACAACATAATATTCCGTGTAGGTGTAACCAAAGTTTGAATCGTTTATCTTCATATTAAAAAAAAAAAGATTATGTTTAACTTCCTCCTCAATTATTAAATTATTACAATCATTCCCTTTCTATTTCATTAAGTTCTTAATTGTTATTTTGAGCATTTTAATCTTTTAGGACTATGCAATTTCTTATAAATCTCTTATAGCCCTGGTAGCAGGGCCCTAAAAGTGACATGTCGTAGGCGAAGGTTTTAATGTAAATTACGAAAGTGTATGTTGTTTTAAGTAAAATGAACATTGTCTGCCATTTCAAAGCCGCTGCTTTAAAATATGGCGGCTGATTTAAATAATATTAGGTCAGTAACTTAACAGTCTTAGTAATAATCAAAACAGAAAATATATTGCAAAAATGTGGGAAATGTTATTTCTTTAACATGTGTAAATAGGTTTAAACATATAAAAACCAAAATTGCTAACAGGAGCATCTAAGGGAAAACTTTTAGAGCCAAATAAGTTAGAGTTTTTTTTATTTTTCACCTATAACTCTTAAAAGGTGCATTAATTTGTAAAACATACTTTTTAAGTAATTAAAGATTTAAAATTGTGCATCAAACAAGCACCTGAATTTGATAATTTTGTTTAAAAACCACGGTCAAAGTTCATTGATCGTGGTTTTCTACCATACCACTAAAGCAAATTATTAAGTGTAGGTACTTGTTCGACGAACAATTTAATTTTCTTTAATTTCTTAGAGGGTACTTTTTTTTTTTTGCTCTAATGCACCATTTAGGAGTTAGAGATAAATAAATTTAAAACTTGTGCTTTTTTGGTTTTCAAAAATTTGCACTTGGTGTCCCGCATTAGCAATTTTGTTTTTCACGTGTATAAAAATATAAACTTTTCCACATTTTTCTTGATATATTTCCCGTTGCGATATTCATGTTATTGACGTGATATTCTTTAAATCAGCTAATGTTGAAAGCAGCGGCTTTGGAACGGCAGACAAGGTTCACTTAACTTGAAACAAAATTCATTTACGTAATTTACATTTAAACATCCACCTGGGATGTCACTTCCGGGCTATTAAATCTTTTATTAAAGTGGTTTATTCATATAATGTATTTAAAATTAATATGAACTGTTGGTTATTAGAACAATTTAATAAATGCAGTGATTTAAAAGGAAAAACTTCCATATTTTCTTTATACATGTCTTATTCATGGCTATGCAAAAACAGCATAACAATAAAATGAATTAAGATAAGTATAAAGAAAAATCATATGACAAATTTTAAAAATCAATATAATTATCTATGTGGATAATAAAAATTCAAAATTAAAGTAATTCTATATTGAAAGGTATAATTGAATATAAAAATATAGAAGTTATAAAAAAACAAAAGAATATGTAGTAGTTGAACAGAAAATAATAAAGCATGATTATTATCATAAGTTATTTTCATGTCTAAGTTAAGTACTTGTAAATAAAAAAATAAAGAAATGAAGAGGTTTTGTGAGAAGGAGGAAAAAATATTTTCTTTAATTAGCCCTAATAGTTAGTACAGAACCCTTCTCATCAAATTATTAACTCCTGCCTAAAACTTTATAAATAGCTTCATCTCATTATAACCTACAAATATTTTATTTAGGAAAATTCTCGGAATTGGAGTTTTTCAATCTGGAGATCAGCAAACATTGTCTCTTTAATTAGTTACCAAAAACTCATGAATAACCATTTGCTTTTCACTTGAATCGTAAAATAATATGATTACAAAATCGAAAAAAATGTGGCCTATAAAAATATTGGGCTGTTTGGCGCGATCTACTGCCAAAATGTGAAAATAACGAGGTTATATAGTCCAAACAGTCCAATATTTTTGTTGGCCATTTTGTTTTCGATTTTGTGATCATATTATTTTAAGATTCAATTGGAAAGCAAATGGGTATTCAAGAGTTTTTAGTACCTAATTAAATAGACAAAGTTTGGCAATCTCCTAATAAATAATAGATTTGTAGCAGAGATGGGCAAATGCTAATCTGAGTTCTGAATACCGAGTATTTTACCCCAAAACTGACCTTTTTTTAGTACCAAAGAATTTAATTACTACTTCAGTTGATGTCGAAGAATAAACTGAAGTAGTAATTTGGTTCCCAATAGTGATTCAATTTGTGTAAAATCTTTTATATTCGGTACTCAGAGTAGCATTTGCTGCCCATCTCTGATTTGTAGGTTACGATGAGATGAAGCTATTTACGAAGTTTGAGGCGGATGTTAATAATTTGATAAAAAGGGGTCTGTATCACGGACTATAATGAAAACTATTCCTTTGCCTTATATTTAAATTATTAGGTTATACACATCTTTGTGTTTTTATTTCCTAATCATGCTCTACTTTTTTTTTTACAAACTTTTTCTCAATATTGACTTAACCTGATCCAAGTCAAGGGTTAAGCTCAAATTTTAAATTATATTAAAAAATATCACATAAATGGTGATCCAAAACAAGGTTCCGAACTTTAGTTTTAAAAAACCCAACACAAAATGCAATGTTATCCTAACTATATCTATATTAGTCTGATATTTAGTATAATTCATTAAATATGAAAAATTATATCAGCTAAACGGCTCAAGAACTGAAGTCCAGAGACCATGGATAGTGAAGAATTTACATGATTGGGTGCTACAGCAGTAGGAAGTTGCTGATTTTTCAAAGAAAATTTTTTTCTCTGATGAAGCTCATTTCTTGATATCTGGGTAGGTTAACAAACAAAATTACCGCATTTGGGTGAGTAAAATCCTCACATGATACACGAGATACCATAGCATATCCTGAAAAGTTTCTGTGTTTGTGCGCATTAGGATCAGGAGGTGTAATTTGACTTTAAATTTTTGTGAGCACTATAGGCACATGTAACCGATTATTTTTGGTGTGAAATTGAGGATGTTGAAGTGAAAGATGTGTGGTTTCAGCTAGACGGTGCTACGTGCCACAAATCGCTGCCAATGTTGTTGAAAAATCTCATTATTTCTAATGAAGTTGACTTCAACAGAATTTAAAGACTGTGCGATTTGATGCTGCTGAATTTCTTTTATAGAATTTTCTTAAGGTTTGCCTCTGTATCAACAAACCTGTAACGTTGGAGCACCTAAAAACTAATATCCACCAAGTTATAGTCGAGATAACCTCCGAAACTTGCAAAAAAGTCATAAAAAATTACCTCAAACGAAACAACTGTTGCAGAATGTCCTGAGGCGTCCATTTGCATAATATCATTTTTCATATTTAATGAATTATACTAAATATTTGACTGCAAAGATATAGCTAAGAAAATATCACATTTAGTATTATTATTTTTAAATTAAAGTTGTGAAAATCAAATTGGATCACTCTTCATTATCTTCATGGTTGTTATTACTATATTATTATTATACTCTTCTTATCATTATAATTGACTTTGTAATAATTATTATAGTTATTACAATTTATGATTATTATTATTATTATAATAAGGAACAAGGTCAGATTGTTTTAAAACTAAATGATATTATTGTTATTAATATGAAAGAAGTCAATTCATTTTTCAATATTATTTAAAACTCATTGTCATTGTCTTGTAATTAATGATATTAACTAGTTCTGTTGAACTTAATAGATTTAAGTTTGACTATTATCTAGTCATAATATAACGGCAGGTCCTAAAATAAGGTTCTCTTTTTTTTCAACATTTATTTTCTCAAAGCCTAATATATTGTTTGTTTGAGTTGATTATTTCTGAAGTTAATCTTAATCGTCACTACAGATTTTCAGAAAACATAAAAAACTTATACTCAATTCTATGTTGTTTTTTTAAATTAAAATTTGATCAGAACTTAGTTTATTAGCTTGTCATTTATTATAAAATCTTTTTCATTATTTTTTTTTAATTACTGGGTCAAGAAATATACCGCATTTAATTTAAGGAAATGAAATAAATTTAACAAAACATGTATAAAACTGCATATATTTCCAGAAACTATTGAAAAACTTTCATTAATCATTGTAGAGTCGAAATGATTTTTTGAAGGATTCAATATTCGTATAATTATTAGAAATAAAGGAGGGTAAATTATTATCTCTTGATGGAAGGTCAAAACTAGGTAGCATGTAACTGAAATAAATGAATTTAAAAATAATTTTCAATAAATTATAACATTTTATTTACTTTTTTGTTTTATTTACTTATTTTTGAACTGTTTAAAAAAAAGAAAATATGAACAATCACACTTATAATGCAATAAAATAATCGTAGTCTTGTCAAAGTTGATATAATTTCAATTTATTCGTCAATAGAAGACAAAAGTTATCACCTAATAATATCAATAAATTTGACTCTCGATAATTCGAATTTTTTGAATAATTCGAAAAATTCAGTTGTTAACGTGAGTAAATTGAAAAATGCTGTATTTTAGTAGCTCGATAACTCTCAATCCTTTTCTTAACACAAGAGGAAGAGAATGTTCTAAAATTCGAACTAGACCACTTCCTCTCTTAATAATTTGAAATTTTCCTCGTAATATTTTTTTACATGAGGCTATTTATGAATAAAATTTATTTAAGCTCATGTATATTTTCAAAATCTCCTAATAATTGGATTTTTTTTTCTATCCTCTTGATAACTCGAAGTCTTGATGATTTGAAGTTTTCTTGTAGTCTCATGGATTTCGAATTATCAAGAATTTACTGTAATAATATAGTTAAAATAGTTTTTAAACAAATCTAGACTTGATGCATAAGCAAAAATATTATATGAGGTATGATCGAACCTAAAGACAAGTTAGGATAAATAGTGGGAGAATTAGTCGATATGACTTAGTTCTCTGACACCGTTAGCTCTAGCGCTTTAGAGAACCTTATTTTGCGATCCGCCTTTGTTAGTCACTAAAGGAAAGCAAACTCTATAGGATTACTTACTTACTTACTTAGTCGAATAATAATTGTCTTAGATTTTATATATATATGTATACATGTGTATATATTTTTTTGATAAGGCTGCTAAAGAAAGCAGAGCCGGGAGCGGCCCCACACTCGTTGCGGGAGCCAGGCTCGAGAGGCGGACCAGGAGACGACAACCTGGAAGCAGGTAATGGTCTAGTTCTAAGCCAGCTGATAATCAAATTAGATCATTACCATATGATTACACTATTATCGTTAAACAAATTAGAAACAGACCAAACCTTGCTAAAGTAAAAAACAAATGGCAGACCTAATGCTTCACCTTTCTAATCATAAAGGTTTTGCAATGTATGCCGTACATTTGTCTCATCGAAGGTCCTTTCAAACAAGCATTCTCCATTTTAATTTAAAAAATATATATATTTATGTAATAAAATAAAAACAAATTTTGACATTATCAGAAATCTATTCATTATACTAGAAATCGTATGTTAAACTACCTAGCAGTTCTTTATTTCTGATGTCATTATAGACTTTTGCTCTTCTGTAGGACATTAATAATGTAAGGGTGGAGAAATAATCGACTTTAGATAATATGGTTGGGTTGCAGCCACAGTGAAACTTATACAAATAAAAAAATTCTTTTCTTTTGTAATAACGTTTTGGCCTATGTTTCAGGCTTGCCTTAGAGCTGAGGATATCACAACAACAACAAAAAATACTACTAATATATTAGCAAGAAAATAAGAACATATAGGAAAAAAAAACTTATTTAATCTACTAATAAATATATACTAAGTGTATAAATATTATATTGTGTAATATATATATATAAATATTATACATTATCGCAAATGTATGTATAATATTATAATCTGTATTACATTTTTTTTTAAACATTTAAATATAAGAAAATAATGAACGATATGATAATACATAAAAATATTTGATAAATTAGACTTGTATAAGTAAGTAATGAAAACATAATTTGATTATATATACTAGTAGGAGCCCGTGCAAAAAATTCGCACAGCATATTGTTATCAAATGCCAAATTAATAAGAAAATAAAGTCATGTGACGTATCAAAAGAAATCAATTGTTACTTTATCGATTAATATATTCGACAAAGGAAACAAAATTAATTTATATCTTCATTTTTTTTTTCGGAACTAACATATTTAGAAATTTCAATAAGCTGTATCTTTGCAAAAAATTGTCCGATTTCAATGATTTTTTTTTCCTTTTGTAGAAAATTTAGTAATGTTTTATATAATCAAGGAAACCGTTTGTTATTTTTTAGTTACTCCCAAATAAGGTTTCATAACTTGTTTGCCTGAATTTTCGGAGTAATTGGACTATTTTGCCCGCCTGAAGGAGAAGGAAGCCTTCAAAATTGGTGGCTCAATCTTAAGCCTTGCCGATCAAAAACACCATCGATAAATAATATAAACCTCTCCTCTCTCGATCATAGAGACCTCAAGTCGACGAAATGAGACATGTATTCAATGACAGTGCTACAATTACTGTATGGTTGAGTGGATGCGAACCCTATGCCTTGCGTTATCTCGAAAATAGTGCGTTTTGGGGGTTAAAAACGCAGGATCCGATAGTTCCTCCGGAACTATCCGGGTCTTGCTGTACGCATCAAAATCTTCAAGTTCTAATTTGTCCCGCATCGATCTACAGACTTATCACCGTTCCAGTATTGAAGCCTAGCAAAATGTTTGTATCGACTTTATTTATTTTAGAAAGAAAAACAGAAGTGGAGAATACGATTCGCTAACCCCCCGTGAAAATCTGAATCCAACGGTACCCCATTCATGGTATTTGAGCATGAAAGGAGCTTATATTTGCTACAAAACCGATTTCGATCCTTACTGTAATAATATATGTACGGGTTCATTACTTAGGGAGCGGGGTAGCTCAGTGGGTAAGCACTGACTTCCAGAGCTCAAGGACTCAGAGTCGATCCATGGCTGATGAGACTAATAATTTTTCATCAGCCATGGATGGACTCTGTGGTAGGGAGATCCTCCTGGGGCACACCCAGCCACTATAAAGTGGTTAATCTTATTGAAATAATTGATTAAGAGGAAAAACGTGGCGGTTGAGTGTGATCTTGGCCCGATCACCTCCCTGCACAACTGTTGGCCTACTAACAGTACTTGCACACATTGTAATGAACGTAAGGCCCTTCGTGGGTTGTTAGTGGTTCAGATTTTTATGTATTATCATACCGTTCATTATTCTCTTATATTAATATTTTTAAAAAATGCACTACAGATTTACGTAATATTATACATATTACTTGCCTTGCCATTTTATACAGTACTTATATATTTTAATTTATATCATACAATGTAATTTTTATTCACTTCTTAGTATTTATTTGTTGTTAACATACATTTTTTTCCAAATATTTTATTTCCTTGCTAATATGTTTTATTTGGTTGTTATCTTCGGCACAAAAGAAAAATTTTTTTTTTCTTTATGAATTGCACTTTTACTGCAACCCAACCAACTTCCAGATGATGACATTAAAATAAAAGTACTTCAAAGAGTTTATTAACTGCGCAATAGGGAAACAACTTGAAGGAGAACCTTAGGCGTAGAGAAGAGGAGGTCGTGCCGAAGGAGGGAAAAGTGTTGCCGCTCTATATAACTTCACCTAGTTATCATCATGATTTTGTTTTGTTATACATTCTTTCATTGCATTTTATTAAGTTGATTCAATCAATTATATATCAAATAGCTTTACAATTCATGTACAATTAGAGATAAATATGATTCCTACACATGTTAATGTTTAATAATAACTCTACATTATACAAATGTTTCAGGGGCTAATCCCCATCCTCTTGACTATTTGTTCTTATAAATATCACTCCTTCGTTATATCATTGATACAAATGTTAACTGTTGAATATGATAATATGAACAATTTTCAATCCTGCACTCTTGCGATGGTAATTGAATATTTTTAAAGAGCGAATAAGAAATCTTAAAACATTCCTAAAAGCACATATTAGTATAGAAATAAAAACATCCTCATTATTTAGGTTGAATGGATAATGATATTAGAGTGGTGATTTTCAGATGCATAAGTTAGCATTTGTATCGATGACATATACATTCACAATGTTGCCCTGCAATAGAATTTGTTAATAAATCATTCATAAAATAGAGCCGCTCTGTGAGTAAGGCACTATGTTCTAATGTTGGGGTTCCCAAGCAGTTAAGCATGATCTCGGTTGAATCACTTCCTTACCTAATCTCTAGCCAAGAAATAGTAGTACTTTCTTAAAAAATATTAATTTCAAGTGTTTTAGTAGTTGTTTTTTTTTAACACATTTGTTTTAAACAGATAAAAGGTCACAGATTAAAAGAAATAGCTTAGGTTGTGATTAAATAGAGACATTTCTATATAAAATATTGTGTTAACAAATTTTGTTACATGATGGAAAGATGTAAGATATATGGAGATATGCCAAAGGGATGTAAGAATAAATAGTTATGCGATATAAATTTTGACAATGGATACAGGTCCCCAAAACATCAATATGTAATGTTTAATTGTATGGATGTCATTTATATCACCAATCTTCTATGAATAATGCTGAATCATGTTTTAATAAATAAAATGCAGTAAAAATATTTATATTTTTAAATCAGTCATTTTTCAAGGGAATGAAATTTCTTAAAGCAAAAATCATATTGAGAAATAGTATTTATTCAAGTGCAAATAAATATATATATATATATATATATATAAAACAAACTATAGCATGTAAAAATATTTAAATGTTATGAGTTTGAAAAGTTCATTTTCATTAGAAAAGTTTTTCTTCGCAGTCTCCGAGACAGATAAAACCTCATTAAAAAATAAACATCTGACCATTTATGTATAAATTGTAGGCAATGTTTCCCTCCCTCAAACTAGCACAGAGGCAATAAAAGGTTCTTTCTCAAGTTGTTTACCCGCCCGTAACTATAATAATATCTCTTTGTATTTTCTGCGATCAACGTATACGCAGGGTATTTCAATTCAATTTTTAATGGCCGAACTCCGGGGATTGATTATAGACAAAATTTCCAGCAAAAAAGTTCATTCGATGCACCCGATCATGGTTCCGAACGGAAAAGGAATTAAGACCAACTTCGTATTTTTCTTAAGGTAGTCACAGTTTTTATTGAATAAGAAGAAATTGCTCAAAAACTGTTCAGGATAATTAAATTCTAAGTACACCATTGTAAAGTAGACAAACATTTTTTTAGAAAACAGTAATTGAATTTATTTAGTGAGCTCAATGATAAAAGGGACTTTGAGGAGATCTAATATGACCGCTGTTCTGCTGCAGTTACAGTACCCGTACACGAGTAGCATATCTCTCTACAGCGGCCGTGTTAGACCTCCTGTAAGTCCATTTTATCGTCGACCTTCATAAATTTAATCAATGTTTTCTCAAAAAAAGTCATCTTCTTTACGATGTTGTACTTGGAATTTTATCTTTTATCTTGAACAATTTGTGACCATATTAAGGAAGACACAAACTTGGTTTTGATTCCTTTTCCGTTCAGAATCAGCCCGTGTATCAAATCATCTTTTTTGTTGGAAATTTCGTCCAGACTAGAATCGTCTCCCGCAGCTTGGCCAGTGAAATATATTCCTAAAATTGCATACGCTTATTTATATAGGCTTTGGAAAGGGTATATGTTATGAATTTCTTTATCAACTAGGCCCATTAATAAGAAAATCGAGCTCCTTTTTATTTTTCAATAATTGACAACAGAATTTCTAGATTTCTCTAATTATTTTATCTTATAACATTACATAAAACCGTCTTGTGTTATTTTAATATCTTCTCTGAGCTGTATTATTTGTAAACTCATCCCATATTTTATTTGACTCTATTCATGTTCTCAATATCCTACTTGAGTGGACAGCATAATAAAGGTAGTATTGTTCATATTTAGTGAATGTGTTTGGAGTAATGAAATGATTTTGAGGTTTGTCGTAGTTATTCTACATTTTAAAAATTGACTTTTCTCCCTTTATCAAAAGCATGTAATTTAAAGACGTCTTATCATAAGTCAAATTTCAAAGTATTTATTATTTTTTATTTATTTCTAAGTAGAAATACTTTTTTTGGTATCTTGTTTCTTACCTTGTTTGATATCTTCTTTTCTTCTCCTCTATGTAGGTAGTATTGCATTAACAATTGAAAAAAATATTTATATCATCATTGAAATATTGTCCATAAATATTAAATTCAATTTTTAAAAATTTCATGTTTACCCAATTTTTTTTTCAATTTTCAAATTTAATTCATACATAGTTTACAAAAAATAGTTAATTAAAATGATAATTATTTTTATCGCATTGTTTATTTTCATTTGTTCTTTCTCATTCCGAAATGTTCATATTCATAAAATGTCAATGTTAAATTTTGATATGCTTATTTGAAATGAATGGATCTATAATTATATGAATGTAGGTAAGTAAATTTATTTTATATTATTAAAAAGGGAAGTGGTTGACTGTTATATTTCATTTATTTTCTTTAATCTTTTATTACTTACACATCAGCACGACATCTCCTGTATCTATTGTTATTTTTACTACACCAAGCTTATTCGTTTTCTAATTTTATTTTCATTTGTTAATTAATTTTAATACCTTATAATCACGGTTATAGATATCACATCACTCAGTAAAAATTTTATTAAATTTCATTTGCCAGATTGCTATCTGCAAGATCTCTGGATATTTCTTTGCCAGTTTTGAAACGATATTCTAAAAACAATCGCATCATTAAGAGGTCAAATCGTTTGTTTTTTTCACCTCCCAGTTTTTTTCTTTCACTCCATGGTGTTTTTTTTTTAAACTATGACTAAAGTTGACTGGTGGTACCCTATCAATTTTTTTTTTTTTTTTTTTTTTACTCCGGTATAAGGGATGCACCGCGGCCTCCAAAGGGTCAATTTGTGTCATCCTAAACTCAATTAAAACAGGCCAGATGCCTTTGGTAACTTATTGATACTAATAGGAATCAATCATTTGGCAGTGCTTAGGGTCAGTGATACGATCACATCCAAAATGAAAGTATCGTAGCCTAGCCAAATTATCACATCTACAAATAATGTGATAGGCCGTTTCATCCTGCAGGCTATGCGGCCTTGAGGATGTGGGGGTCTCACTTACACCCAGATTGTGAAGATGCTTATTCAGTTAAGAGTGACCAGTTTACAGTCCTGTCACCGCCTAATGGTATTCCTGTCCATTAGAAGGAGTGAATTACTTCTCTTATGGCAGGGCCCTATTAGGAATAACTTAGAATTAGTTTGTTTCTTAGTCTGTACCTCTAGTCTTCAGCATAAATTTATTGCCTTAATATGCCTTTTGGCAAAGCCAAGTCCTATCCCAGAAATAGGCTCTGTTGCAACCAGCTCTTTTGGAGAGGCTTTCCTAACAAGGTGATCAGATTTCCCATTTCCTGGAATGCCTGAGTGCCCAGGTATCCATTATACTCTCACCTTATTAGTACTACAAAGAAGGTTAACATTGACTTTACATTCATCCGGGGGTAACTCGGGGGGATTGAGATATCGAAGGGAGCGGGGTAACTCAGTGGGTGAGCACTGACTTCCAGAGCTCAAGGTCCTGGGTTCGAATCCGGCTAATGACTAGTAATTTTTCATCAGCCATGGATCGACCCTGGGGTCGGGAGACCCTCCTGGGCTACACCTAGCCTCTATAAAGTGGGTACTCTTATTGAAATAATTGATTAAGAGGAAAAACGTGGCGGTTGAGCGTGATATCGCCCCCATCACCTCCCTGCACAACCGTTGGCCTTGTAACAGTACTTCCTGACATAGTACTGCACCCAAGACCCTTCATGGGTTGTAGTGGTACAGGTTTTTTTTTACATTCATCCATCAGCTTTGAGCGACTTGCATAACTATTCAGGGTCCCAATTACCGCTTGACTATCCATATATATTGTTATCAATCTAAGTGACTATGTCTGGTTCATTATACAGTTCTTGGAGTTCTCTATTATTTCTTATTTTTCATTGACCAAAGATTTGTTTAAGGAGGGACCTTCCTTTCACAGATCCAGGGAATCTCCTCGCGTTCCTGTATCACGACCCACATTTCACCCGCGTAAATGACAATTGGTCTCAAGATAGTTTTATAAATATCTAACGCAATGTATTCCTTATTGCAAAAATACATCTGTTACCTGCTGCAATTGTTGCTTTTATTTCCATTATGATGTCATTTTTGACATCACTGAGGCTCCAAGATATTTGAGACTGCCAGCTTTGTCAAAAGTGTGGTGGAGCAGTTGCACGCTATCCTGTCGCTCCGGTCCCTCACTTTTTGAGGGTATCAATGTATTGGGCTTGAAGATGCATAAGCATAATTAATTCTTTATTCTTAATATGATTTTTGGCTAAATGTCACCAAACAATTTGTTTTCTATACCATCCTTTAACTGTTGCTGGTGTTTCAGCTTCATGAGCTATGAAGGTTTTTAAACAAAAATCGTCCTTGTATTGTATTGTTGGTATTCAGGTAATTTCATTGATATGATGGATTTGTGAAGTCCTACATGTCTGATTTTACTTATGAATGAAAGTAACTTATCTGACTTTATTGAGTCTTTATTAAAATTACATTGATGTAATTCTTTTGCAGATCAAACCTAAACAATACTTGCTTTAGAAGTAGATCATGAAATAGTTAGGAGTCAGGAGTTGTTTTTACTTTACTTCACTATCGTAAATCACTTTTGAATGAAAACATATGATATTGGTTTAAATTGTTGTAACTCTTGACTGGGCTATTAATTGTGTATATTCTGACATGTTTAGATCTTTTGCAATTAAAAGTAAAATAGAATTTTTTTTTTATTGTTTATTAGCTTATTGTTTTTATTGTTTATGTTAGCTTTCAATACTTTGGTTTAATGTTGTCAGTTTTATTTGTTATTGGTGAAAAAAATTTATTTATTTATTTCTTTATTTGAAAATGAGGTTATAACTACTTAACGATAGTATGTAGTAAACAGTGACGAATAAATGATGTTTTTATTGAAAAGTGATTTGTAGTGATAGCGAAATAAAAAAGACCCATAGTCAGTAATATTATGCTTTTGTGTAAGTAATAAAAGGTTAAATTTCTTGTTGTAAATTAAATTTTGTTATTTGTATTTGATGCATGATTTTTTTTTCTGCGTGTTTCATAAAATATAGTTATAATTTTTATATAGAGTACTGTAATGTTATTCAATTATTATTTATTATTTTTTTCCTGTTTGAAAATTGTGGATATGATAAGTTTTGTGCATGTTGTACGCATGACTATTTGATAATGAATATGCAAGGCTAAGGTGTTCTGTTTTGTATTTGTGTGTTAAGGCTCCGTTAGTACTTACGCTGGCATTCTCAAGGGAAACGATCCGGGCACTATGTCAGGTACAGAATATACCAGTGCGTGTAAGACCTAATTTATAATAATCAATATTATACGTGTATGCTTTAACTATATGTGCGTTAGTTGCCTGGATTATAATACAACACAGATAATCCTTCTGTTATTAATTATATAAAATATTATAAATTATCTATATTAATTTATTCATAATATATAGATATATTAAGAGCATTCGATATTAATTGTCCCAAATGTTTCTCAATGCCTTAACGGATGATATAATAAAAAAATGTCAGAGGTTAAAGTCCTGTTTCGTTACTAAAGCTTCAACTACTACTATGACACGTGGCTAAGATTAATATTCAAATCCTTTGTTTATTATAATTTATATTAAAAAAACAACTGGTGTTTCTCATCCTTTTGCCAGTCTTCAAGTCGAGACATTTCTGCCCTTTCCTTATTGTGGAAATATTTTATTTCATTTGTAACTTTTTAGTATTCTTACTTGACTGAATTTTTATCAAAGATGATTAAAACAAACATACATAAAAGTAACATATCATGACTCTTAAGATTCATGTTAATGAGATGCCTAAAATAAATTGTTGATCGTTCAATTTCAAAGATATTAAAATGTATTCTTCGGCATCTTTCATAAAGTCATGTTTATAAATGAGAATATTGAAAAGAAAACATTATCTGAAAATCTTGAGTTTTCTGCGCGTGAGGCCTCCAAGTTAAAATATAATAGAAGTTGTTAAAACTACAGAACTATCACTTTTTTCTCTGGTGTTGTTTGTATTAAATTGTCTGTTAAAATCTAGGAATTATTTGGGCCAATTTGTATTGGGCACCCTTTTATTGAAATTTTATATTGGTTTTATTTGATTCTATATTTAATTTTTCAGTAAACATTTTTTAAATAAATGTGAATATTTTTAAATAATGCTATGCTTTTTACTGTGAAGGAATAAACGTGAGACATGAGAACAGCAGATGGCTCTCCAGTAATTTCAACTTTCATAACAATCGCTGATTTCTGATTATAACTTTATTAAAATAAGTATCAGGTTTCAAAACTCTCAATGGTAAGTCGACGGATTGATAAGGGACAAATTGTCTTGTAAAGATTTAAATGTGTACATCAAAATCTGGTAATGTTCCTATGAGGTCTTACATTTTAAAACTCTAAAATGTATTTTTCTTTTAGGTTAACCGTAATTCTTGCTAAAAGCCTCCTAGAAGCCGCAGTTGTCATGGGATACTTATCACATGCCAATTATATTATTTTAATGAATTATTGAAAGACGTTAGTAGACTAATCTATATATCATAGGTGATAAACAATCAGGACACAGTCATTTTTAAGGTTTTTATTACTGCCAACGTTTCAATCCAAACATGTGGGTCAGTATCAGGACTCGTTTCGAACACTGAAGGTATTCAACTACTCAAAGTGCTTAAAACTGACTGAATACCCACTAAATTGAATAAAAAGGAAAACTTTACGACTGTAACCCATGAATGGTGTTGGCTCCGGTATATTGTAAGCAAGTAGTCTTTAGAGGTCAACACTAAGCGCAGGGTTGTGATTGTGCCAAAACGACTGCGTCTTCATCAGCATATTTATCAGCTATATATTATTTTTAATTAAAATATTGCTATTTATTGCAATGTGTAACAACCTAAAAATCTATTTAAATGTTAAATGAGGGAGAATTTTGACATCCCTTGGGTATCTTGGTTAATATAGAAAGCAACTTTTGATTCAAGTGATTTGCAGATGGTTTGATTTTTGCCATTTCGGTGACTTCTTTCTCAACTTATTATCGAGATATAGTTTATCTACACTATTCTTAACTGAAGAGATACACTCAGTGTCAAAACGTTAGACACGCCCGTTCAAATTTAAAAAAACTTTTCATGCTTTCTTTATTTTCATTGATATTATTTTTTTAAGCACAGTTTAAAGTATAAATTATGATATTTAAATAGTGAAAATCTTCTCAGACCTTGAGGATTATTTATTTAAATCAAATATCAGTAAATATTGACATTTTATATGCGTCAAAATGATAGACACACTAGTTGTCGTTTACTATTTTCTTACTCGTCTAGGGTTGAAATCGTTAAAATATAATTTCTACTTCAGTGCAGTGTTAAATTTGTTTCAAAATAGACCTGGAAATAACATGAATTATGGGAAAAAATAAGTGTTTCCCCCGAAGAATAGTGCTGTTTGATTTCTTCATTCCACAAGGACGGGATGTAAGGAAATAGCCCACCGAATCAAGTGGAGTTTTTCATCGGTCGCAAAATTAATTCGGCATGGGAAGACATATGGAACCCACCGTTCTACTGGGAGGACCCCTGCTTTGAAATTATGAGAGAAAGGGAATATTCTTCTAATCGCATCCAACTCTTGTAAAACAGCAAGAGTAATTGCTGAGGAAGCTGGAGTTCAAACTAAACTAATAAATGTCCAAAGATTCTTTAAAAAGTTCAAAAGAAAGCAAGTTTTGAGTACACATCACAAATTAACCCGGATGGTCTTTGCTCGTAATGTGATGTCATGGACTAAGGAGTAGAAAAAAGTCATCTTTAGTAATGAAAAAAAAAAATCAATCCAGATGGGCCAGGTGGATTTTCGTATTATTTTCATGACTTAAGAAAAGAAGAAAAAATTTTATCAAGGTGTCAAACGGGAGGAGGGAAAGTTATGGTTTACAAAAATAAAGGAAATTCGGTATTTGTTTCATCAAGAGTAAAGTCAGCTGAATGTAAAAATTTGTTAGAGGAACAAAAGTTGACTTTTAGTGACATATCTGAAGGCACATTAGTTTTCCAGCAAGATAACGCCCCAATACATTCAGCAAAAATTATTAAAGACCAGTTTACTCGCAACAAAATTGCCAAATTAGACTGGCTTGCTGTCTCCCCAGACCTGAACATTATCGGAAATGTTTTTTGAACTCTTTAAAGAAGGGAGTACTCTAAGTCAAAACAGTCGGAAACAATCAAGGATTTGAAATCTGCAATTCTGGCTTCATTGGAACAATTTTTGAATCAATAAATGGTGGTGGAAAGGCCAAGAAACATTAAAATGAGTTTTATTTGTTTTTACCATATTTTGACAGGCCTTGACTTTAATTTGGAAAAAAAAAAATGTGAATATTTTTGGCTTGAGAAACAAAATACAAGGAGGCTGCTGATCAACTTTTGGTGAGTGATAGATTATTTTAATGCTATTTTACGGGTAATTTGAAAAGATGTGAAGGTAGAGCTAACAATTTTTGAAGTGTGTTTAGCATTTTGACACACTGAGTGTATGTTTTCTCTAGAGGAACCTAATTAACTATTAAGTGAACTATTTCTTTATCGTAATCATTATAAAGTATAGAGACTTACCAATTGTCTGTATTGAATAGACTTCTTATATAATATTTATACAAATAAAATAATTTCCCTAATATCGCTAAATTCAAGTGTATTAGGAAGAAGGATAGATATCTATTGCAAGAGTTCTGGGTGGAACAAATATTTTTATTCCAATATAGTGTGTGGTGTGTAGGCACTGTGCTCATATACTAATATAGCAGGTAATTATTTAATCTGTTATATCTACTGCTGCTCGACCTCTAGATCATGACACCACTCACTCGTGAGGCACATCCTGCCTCTCATGAAGTGGGGACTCTTAATTTAATAATCGATTAAGGAGGAAAAAAGCTGCTAGTTAAGCGTGATCTTGACCCAATCACCTCTCTGCACAACTGTTGACCTCTAAACTTGCTTCCAATATACTGAACACAAGACCCTTTGTGGGTTAAAGTGGTACAGTTTTCTTTTTCTTTTTTATTCATTTTCATGGGTATTTTATTTAAGTATGAGTAAAAGGATTAGCATTAATAATAATAATAATAAAAGAAATAGTAGTATGGGATGATATGTGATTGACATCATTCTATATATAGGATGGCACCCATTATCCCAATAACCCAAATCCTTATATTCCGGAATGCCCACTTTATTTTAATATTATTAAAGGTTAATCTTATTATTTATATCTTGTATTTAATTATATTATATTAATTAAATCTTTTAATCTTATCTAAAATATTGGTACCTTATTTCTAAAGCTTACTCATTTTGACAACCACAACCAAACTATCAATTCAGACGGTATCAAATAAAATAATAATGACATTTTTGTATGGGTAAAAGAGGTCAGTTTTATAATTTTACAGTTTTTAATATTCAAATTATAAAAATTTATTTTCATTTTATTTATAAGTTGATCATTATTTGTTTATGTTTTGTATATCCTTTGAAATAATATTTTAGTTGAGGTAATTGAAACGATGAAAGATTATTAATTACAACCTACATCATAGTATAGTAACGTGGGTTGGTTGGTTGTTGTATAGTAAAGGCTTAAAACCTGTTGGTCATCAACACCGTTAATAAAAATTATATATTATTATATCTTCTGGTTGTGAATAATAGGAATAAAATTAAATTAAAAAGACTTTAAATACACGTTAAGGTTAACGTTGTTTACAGTTATTAAAGTTTAGTTATTTAAAGTTAGCACATTTAGTAATAAGTAAATAAAAATAAAATAAAGTTAAAAGGAAAAAAAAAAAAAGAAGTGGGCAGTTCTGCGTGAGAGGTTCTGAAACTTTTAAACATTCCTTCTTCAGAGAGAAAACATATGATTTTGCTCAAGATTTTTTCATCATTTCCCAAAGCAGCCAATGTATAGTAATGTTTTTAATGGTTATGTATAGTAATGTTTATACTGGTTAAGATGGTTAATAAAATATTAAATTAAAATTAGGAATTTGGCTGTCAGAAATATGAGTATTGTGACTGAGGTACAATACGATCTATCCTTCAAAGCTCTAATGATTTCTGGTAGAATGCTCTCATCGCCCAGAGGAATAAAATGTTTTACAAATCATCTGATTATACCATTTATCTTTATATTGTAATATTTACATTACATTATTACCTTGTTAGGTTACGTTTCCTTTGAAAAGTTAACAAACAGTTTCCGAACCAAATTATATTTATTTTATATTATTTCTCAGGTTGGGTTGAGACAATAAAAACACATTCCACAATTATATTAAATAAAAGCATACATTTATTTTCTATGAAATATTTATGAATTTCCTTTCAGTTTTGGCGGGGTCAACTCTTGTCGCTTTCTAATTGTCACTATTTATTTTCCACTCACCCTGGTCAGCAGTGAATCTTCCTCTGTATTGATGCTGCAGGCTTTGCTGTGTTAAACTAAACTTCTGCAATGTCTTCTTTCAATTTTCTGTTTTCCTGTCTTCATCTAGGCACTCACTACTTGCTGGTCACCTGTCACTCTCTGTAGGTCTCGATGATCTTTCATCGCCGACTGGTCACTTTCTCTCTAAACATATGGATGGCCCTTCCATCTGTCTTTGTCCATTCCTTGACAGTAGTTCGTGACATCACTGTTTTCGCACCACTATTTAAAATCACTATGTAATATTTATATTATAATATGTTTATTGAATTATTCATCTTGTTTTTAAATTTAAATTATATCAATTTCATAGAAGGAAAGAAAAGAATTTTTGAGATAGTTTTTTTTTTCAGTGTTTATAAAATACTCATCCAATGAATTATAAGTTAAACAGAGGATTGAAGTAAGGACACGATGTGTGATAAATACAACCATTTATTTATTTATTTTTTTTAATTTAAGGTTTAATAGATGGCAGATATAATTGAATTATGTGTTTATGAATTTCAGAAGGATTATCTGATGGATAATATTCAAATTATTTTATTTTGATTATTAATCATGAATATTTTGTGATATTGTTTATTTCATCATAAAAATTAAAAAGTCTGTTATGAGTTTTGCGGAATTTCCTCGCCTAATTTTTCCCGGTCAAGTGTTTGTTAACTAATATGAAAGTAGATGAGTGACAATTGAAAGATGTTTTCAGAATCAGAAAAGATGAACGAGATTGCTTCTGCTTTGAGGAGGCCAGAGAAGGAAGGGTTTATGCTCACGGACGACCAGGAGTTTCCTCCCGTCACTCTCAAAAGTGATTAAGTATCACCATTTTACTTTTATTGTTTACATCATGTTCATTATTATAGTACTCACAAAATACATTTTATGTATTTTTGTAATTGAAAAAATATATGTGTATATAATTCAAGGTGTCTACATAGAAAGAATATTGGAAAAGCCAGATATTTTCATCAAACCAATCAGAAAGTTGGAGAAATTAATTAAATGGTGAAAAAATAAAATAAAGTTACTAAATAAATAAAATTGATTTCGTGATAATCGAATCTTTCTTTCTTCTCATTTTACATCTAAAAATAAAATATAAATGTAACAATTAACAACTCAAAACATTATATTAAAGTGAAACAATTATAATTTAAACCTTCAACTAATGATTTGCTCAATGAGAAACTAATTAGAAATACAGTGGACCCTCGCCAATCCGAACTAATTAATTAAAAATGATGTAGAGATGGTTGACCGTGATATAATATGAGAAGGAGTTTCGTCGGATGGTGCGGTCAAATAAATACTAAATTTAAAAAAAAGTATTTTTAATGATTATGCAGACGTTTCTACCCACCTTGCAGGTCCTTCATCTTTTGTAGCCCTGATGAAGACTTGCAGGGTGGGTCGAAATGTCGTCATAACCATTAAAAATACTATTTTTTTAAATTTAATATTTATTTGACTGCACTCTCCGTCCAAACTCCTCTAATTAATTAGAAGTATGAATATTCGGATTACCTAATGGTATTTTCTTAAAATTCATAATTAATTATTTTTCAATAGTGTAAACTACCATTGTTTTAATAATACAATGTCGCACTGGAGATTAATTTAATGAAAAGGTTAATTATATCCGCCTATATTGAGAAAATAAATGCGCTTCCAAATTTTAAGATGTACCAATTTTGGATTTTATTTTTTAAAAACAAGTTGTTATTTTTGACTAGATTATTTAATCCTCTGCACATTAAGTGTTGATAACACGGTTTTATTGAATGTGTGTATAAATGTACTACATAGCTAAATTCAAATGTTCATTTTTACTTTTTTAAATGTGTGTTTGGGTGGGATTATAGAATGGTTTGGATTTGCGACAATCCAATTTAGTTATATTTCATCAAGGTTTTGTCTACTCTAAGCGCCTAAAACTGAAATTGACTATAATTCTTTTGAATGAAAATATTGAGAGGAAAAAAATGATTGCATTTCACTCGCTTATTTTGTGGGAGGGGGGGAGAAGTAGGGAATTTTATTTAAAGTCAGCTGATGGCTTTTGTAGACACCTTGAGTATTGAATATTGAAGCTGGTCGATTGAAGAAAAGATAAATCAAACCACTTTTTAAAAAACAAATTTGTTTATTTTGTAGGAGTTGTAAATATATGTACAGATATGTTTAATGTAAAATGGTATCACATTGTGTTTTATGTGCACATTTTATACATTATCTCAAATTTGTCTTTCTCTAATCGTTGTATATTGTTGTATTGGCTTACTTTGATAACATTTGTAAAGTAAAGTCATATTATTATTTTCCTTTTTTGAGCCATTTGAATGCCTCTTGTCGTGCAGTTGTTTATATATATATATATATATATTGACTGTTTTTTGTTTTTTTTTATTTGGTCTCCATTGTATGACCAAGATAAACATTGGTACTAATTTAAATTTACGATACATTGTCGATTTTATTGATTCCTATATTTTCTAGTTTTAGTTACTTTTATTTGTAATCGTATTAATCACAATTAAATTTATCTTAGTTGTCATTGGTTGTTTTTAAATTTTAATTTGTGTGTCTTTTCTGCCAAAGACAATTATATAATAATAATTATACGATAAATAATTATTTAGAACAAGTTATTTTTTTACCTTAGTTTAACAATAAGCATAACAATTTTATTTTTATGCTTAGTGTTACTTTTTTTTATTATTTTTTGAAAATATATCGTATGTACTTTCGATTGATTTCCTATTTCTACGTCATAAGTTCTATATTAAGATAGGATCAGTCAGTCAGTACAAATTATTTTTGTATGCTATTGTTTTTTGTTTTTTAAACAATGTTTAGTTTGTTTTAACATTGTGTTAAAATATAATTTTTTGTTTTATATTAAAAAATATTGTTTTCCTATTTCTATGTGTCATAAGTTCCATTATTTTTTTAGGAAATGTTTCTTTTCTTTATAATAATATAGAAAACTTGAGATATTTTGTTTTTTAAAATGTTTTACCTATGTACTTTTATATTTGTAATAAAAATAAAATAGCAATTTGAAATTTTCATTGATGTTCCCATTTTCCCATCTTGTTAAGTTGCATTGTTAGCGAGTATTAATTAGTAATTTTCAATTACTTTTGTCATAGCTTTAAATTTTCTTTTAGCAATATGTTATGAGATAAGTTACGAAAACAATTATTATATCTTTCTAAGTTAAGATTTTTAGATGAAGAAGGATTTATTTTTTAAATTAATATAGTCCTTTGTAAAACTTTGAGTTTAATGTGAGACAGTAGCAGCCTTAGAGTGAGGCGACCGGAATGTTGGCCGATCTTCAGGAGTGCTCGCCATTTCTTAGAAATTAAATAAATACTTACCCTTATTATACAGGGTGTCCTATAAGTAGAGGGAAATATTTAAAAGGTTTATAGTAAACATCAACATCTGCAGAAAATAAGGAATTTTTGTGTTTTTTTAAGTGATTCACGTTTTTTGTTGAACAGGAAGCAATAACTTGAAAAATGTTTGATTTAAGTAACTAAACTTTGCTATATAATAAACTAGACAAAATTTACTTTAAGTGAAAGTAAAGTTTGTCATTGTTAAAAATATTTGAAGGGGACTTTTGAGTGGGCAAACACGGCTAAGTTTCGTTTAAAAAAATAAGTCAAATTATTTGTGATTTTATCCCCCTTCAACTACACTACGTAAAACTCCACTTTTAGAAAAACTTCTTCGTTTAATTAGCTTTAATTCCATATTAATTAAGTTGAGGTTTATTAGGAAAAATTTTGAAATTCACTTCAAGTTGTCTAAAGAATTTTTGTGGTGTTATCAGCAAAAATGATTACAATTAACTGTTGCAAAGCTTTCATTTCTTGTTTTTCCATGGTCTGGAATGTATTTTAATAAACATTATTGACTAAAAATGAATTTTATTTATAAAAATAAAAATTTAAAAACAAGTTTTTTTCACGTAAAGTGGTCTTGAAATGAATTTTAAAACTTTTCCTAATAAACCTCAATTTAATTAATATGGATTTAAAGCTTATTAAACGAAGAAGTTTTTCTAAAAGTGGGGTAAATGTAGTGTAGTTGAAGGGTGATAAAAACAAATCAAATAATTCATGCCTTTTTTACTTTCCTACCTATACTAGGTAAGGAAAGTATTGCAATCGGGTCAAATTTCCGACATGCGGTTTTCGACGGATCTATACGTTTCAGAGCACCCTGAGTCCGAAAAACACATTTTTAGCCATTGGTCTGTCTGTCTGTCTGTGCCAAGATTTTCTCGGGAACTACTGAACCGATTTTGTTGCTTCTTTTTTTATTTTGTAGGGTTTTGACTACCGATGCCTGTGACAGAAATTCGGTGCTCCATACGCAATAGCTTGCGCACAATAAATGAAAAACATGTTTTTCTATAGACTGTAGCGCAAAAACGGCTCTAACGATTTTGATGAAACTTTCCTATAATGTTCTAATCATTGTCCTTTCAATTTTCGTATATAGACTAAATTCCCGAAAAAATTCAGGAAAAAAAGTTATAAAGTAAAGAAAAATGTTGTGGGGTCTACCTCCTTAAGTATTTATTATACAGTAAAATTTATAATAAAACTTTCAAAGGTAATTAAATTACCAACAAAGCAAAAAAAAAAAAATTTCGGAATCGAACCAATATTAGCGATGATACAGCTTATTCTTTTTTTTACGCATTTTTTTAAAACGTAACTATGAACTATTTTGTAGATTCGATTTCTACTATGAACCTCTTTTAAATATTTCCCTCTACCTATGGGGGGGAGGGCACCCTATATATTACTTTATAGGTAAGTGAAAGTAAAAAATAAAATATTTTAACCTATCAACAAAAGTAACTCTATTAGAGAAATGTTGAATGAAATAAAATTCAAATATTATTACATAATATAAAAACCTTAAGAAATAAATTTAATTTTTTAGGAGGGGGGAGATGATGTGATGACCCAGTGGCGCTGGATTTGTAAGGCCGACACTAATGTCCTAGCATTAGAGCTCTAACAAAGGTGTTCATACTTAGAGCACTCTAGCAGTTCTTTCTATCAACTATAGCAGCACTTTATAGTTCTTGTTTACTTTTCATTCTGGCAAAGTATAAATTATTGCAAAATAATTTCTTATAGATTATTTAAATTTTTCACTGTCGTCTTAACCTGGTATTGTCAAATTATCAACCTGTATATGATGTTTTTTTTTTAATTATTTTATTTTACATAAAATACTATCATTATTCAATTTAAATCAAGATATCTCTTCTTTTTTTTTGTCAAACTGATTTTACTGGCTGATTATTGATTTTTTTTTAAATATTAAAAAAGCGAAGGAAATTAATAAAAAAATTATTTTTAAATGGTTAATCCATCATTGACTTTATTTCCATTCTGTTATGTCTCATAGTACAGGATATGATTTGTGTATCTTAATTAACTAACAGTAGCCTCTTGTCCTGTTGAAGATTAAGATACACATGCCCGCACCGCGGTGGTTTCAGAAGGTACTTCATACAACCGTGGTGCAGCTTGGAGGTAGTGTGTTACAACCGCAGCAGAGTATTCCTTGCCTTTATAATGTATAGGGTGAATCTTCTACCTCGCTACTCTCCTTATATTTTGATTTAAAAAAAAAAAATGAAACCAGTAAAATATAATTTAATGCCAAAAAATATTATCCTAACATATATTTTACACTAGAGAATTTCTGAGATTATCTAAAGTTTCTAAACTAGTGTCTTTATAATTATTACTGTAAAAAAAAATTAGCCCCATCACTAAATCCTTAATCTGTTACTGTGCAAGGAAAGTAAATTTATGAATTAATAATTGATCAAAACTTAAGTTTTAAAAATGGTTTCAACAATTTGTATTTTCTTATTTAATGGATGGTTTTACAAGTTTTCTTAAAGCTTGACTTTCAACAAATGAGTTTTCTTCATCTTGTATTCCAAATTCCTTTTTCTTTGATCAGAGAAGTTCTGTTGATCCAGTCTCCGTTATTTCTGAATTTTTTTTCACCTATAATTAGTTATTTTGAATTAGTTATAAAGTAACTTTTTCTGATGTAAGTTATTTTTAAAGTGCCCAAAAAAATAACTTACCTTATTTTTTCCTGCAGATTGGCTGGCTAATTTTATAACCATAATTAATTACCTTTTAAGAAAATAATGATTTTTCTTATAATAAGGAACTCGCTCACACTTATAAAAATTGAAAATGATCCCGTTACATAAAAATTTAGTGAAAAGAACTTATTTTGGTTGTTCTTGTTGCAAAATATCTCTAAGCCAGAAGAAAATGGACGATGTAAAAAAAATGTTAGCTCCCTATATAGCTACAAATACGAACAGTTTTTTTGATGAGCTAAAAGACTTTTAGCTAAAAGACTACAGCTGCTAAGATTTTCTTAATTGTACTAGAACCTTTCATTTTTGTAATATATTTTTTTTTAAGTAGTCTTCATACTAATATTTAATTCTTTTTTTTGTTATTTTACTTAGTATTTAAAAATATAAAAGTGAACAATAATACTAAAAAAAAAATCTAAATACTGATTCCTCAGAGAAAGAACTTCATTGAAATAACTTAAATTAGTTATAAAGATATTAGTTGCTGAAACTTACTGATTAAATTTTTAACTAATTTGAATATTATGTAATTTTTTTAAAATATTGGATTAGACTATAAATTGCAATTAATAAAAAGTGTCTCTATAGATCAAGTTCCTTTGCTAATGAAGTTATTCAATTATGGATCGAACAAGATTTACATGGTACATGATGATTTATGTAGTCATTGGTGACATCATTCAATCTTTTTCAATTCTGTCTGAACAAACGATTTTGTTTTAGTATCACATCAATTAATAATAAAAATAGCAATGGCCAAAATAAATGTAAGTTGATTCTTTTCAACAACTTTTCAGCCTTCTCGTGATGTCAGGCATACTGGTAATGGCCATTCTTACTATTAAACATCGTTATAATATCAGATTTCATTCCAACTAATAAAATTATCAATTATTGTTTCCATCTAAACAGATAGAGAAAAAAAAAGGCTTATAAATGCTATAGCCTTTCCTTTATGAAAATAAAAGAAGTTTTGTTATCAATAATTTATGATAGTATTCTACAAATAAACAGTATGCATTTTCAAAGTATCGTTTCACATTCTATAGTAGTACTCTCAAATTTTTACAGATTATCGTAAATAAATTATTTTATTACAAATCAGTAAGAAGGAACAATAAAAATATATAACACAGACTAAATTAAGATATACCAAGTTATTTAGTTCTTAAAACACTTAAATTTCATATATCTCAAACAACAAAATATTTTTCTTCCGTTTACTGATATTCTTTTCTATCATTACAGTGCCTCAGTAAATATACTGCCTGTACTGTATAGCTTGCCAAAGTTCACATTTCCTTTTCTCACTTTTCTTCTAAACCTTGTTTTTACACTGCCATACTCTTCCTGGTTCAGTAAACGAAATTCCACCCAAAATACACTTTCCCTCCAAAATTTAACTCAGAATACAGAAGCTATTTGTGAAATTCACTATTTTTCATAAACCTTTAGATATATTACAAGAATCGTGTACCTTAAATTAAATTAAAATTTGTACAATAGATTCTTTCATGATAGAGTGAAAGGCCTTACTAGAGCTCCCATTTCTACGCTAGAAATAATGTTCCAAAGGACTACGAGTGTGTCTTTCTCATTTTGAGATCCCTCTTTAGATGAATATCGTAGATATTTCAAACTATTAACTATTTACTATCAGACTTTGACGCTCTGTGGGTAGAGTTCTTCCAATGATACTCTTTGGTACAGTCGGTTGACGTAGTCCCTGAATATTTCAGAAAGGGCTTCTTCGAAACTTGGTTTCATCTCTCTCAAGACTTCCTCCCAATTATCGTTCAATATCCTGTTCATGCTATCACCTAAAAAATTAGAAATATGTATTAGTATATATAAATTTGATACTTTATGATTATTCAATGTTCACATTCTTATAACTGTTGTGCTCATTAAAAACTCAACTATTAACAATAATTTCAAGAACAGTGGTTGAATGGGCCTTTTAAGTCCGTAAAAGTAGAATAATTGAACCAGTTTATTCTTTATTTAACCACTTTATTATTATTAAATACAGTGAAATATTGATTATTCAAGGTAATGACGGAGAGGAAAAAGCATGGATATTAATTTTTTTTCATGTTTACTAATGTTGGATTAAAATGAATGTAATGCCATAGCGTATGACAATAATAAATTTATATTTATCAGGAAAAACAATACCCTGAACTCCATTTGACCAATTTTGAAGTTTTCAATGTTTTAATGGTCATGCATTTTCCATTTTTTTCAAAAATCCCTGACAGTTTATTTGTTTAGTCCATATTCTATGATGATTTTTCTTACTGGTTCATTTTTATCATCAACACAATTTTTTTTTCTCTAGATATTTGATTGTTATGCTTTCATTTTGCCATTATTTTGTATGCATAGGGATCTAATTGTTCCACAACCATGAAATAGAAGGTTAAGAGGTAAAACATTAAATGAGGATTTTTGAAGGGTTTTAAAACATAAGGTTTCTTTTTAAAAGTTTAAAATTCCAAAAATTGAGTGTTCATTTATTCATCCAGTCTGCAAAGATATTTAAATTTTATCATTACTTAAATACATCACTGGGAAGTAAATTTTTAAAAAGAGAGAAAAAAATCACGATTAATCAAGAATTAAGATAATTGATATTTTACTCTATACAGATATGTATTTTTTTCTTGGAATTTTTAATGGATTATTTGTTTATTGATAAATATTACAATCTGTCTCAATAAAAGACATTTATAATAGAGTTCTGAGAGCACATTCACACCATATTTACAAATTAATACAAAATAAAATAAATAACCTAATTTCAAATAATATAAAGCTATAAAAGAACAAAATAAAATATCATACTGAAGGAAGAAAATATAAATAATAGTAATAATAGAATAAAAATAAATGAATAAAATAGAATTAAAATTATCTTTAAAAAAAAAAAAGTAATGAAAATAAACATCTTAGACGCAGGCATACCTATTTACAGTCGGCCGTGGGAACTCCGAACCATACTTATCCCCCCACATGTGGAGGGAAAGCGAGGCTTCAGGAGATCCCTGCGCTTCTTCCTCAACCACTTCACTGGGATTAAAAGCCAGGGGATATTGAGTAAGGGCGCTACAACCACAGACACTCATGACTTGAGTGGAGAATCTGGCCATTGCCAGAACTTTCTTAGAATTAAGTTGGAAATATAAGGTGATGAGCCAAGCCAAAAAAAATGCTATGGTTTAAGTCAAAGTCAGGTTGTTTGAGTTTCATAATTAAAGTAAAACATAATAATCTGATAATTTATTTTAGATTAAGATTCCCAAGCTTCTAAAAAGAGTCAATTTTGTACATTTTTGAGGAAGTGGTTTCCTTTGCCTTATGGCAGAGAAAATTTTTAATGGTGATAAAAAAAAAAAAAAAAAAAATTGAAAACACTGAGAAAAGTACTTAGGGAAAGTACTGTCACAAGGCCAATGGTTGTGCAAAGAGGTGATTTGACTAAAATCCCGTTCAACCGCCAGGTTCCCCCCCCCCCCTAATTAATTATTTAATTAAGGATACCCACGTTATAGAGGCTGGGTGTGCCAAGGGATGGTCAACATCTGATGAAACAATTAATAATTTATAATGATGTACAGATGGTTGACCATTGATATAATATGAGAAGGAGATGATCGGGGGGTACGGTCAAATTAATACTAAATTAAACAAGTAGAATTATTTAATTTTTGCCGACGTTTTGACCCACTTTGCAGTGCTACAAAAGATACAAAACATGGTGAAAATAAAATAAATGAATATAAGTAGATATAAAATAAGAATAAGTTGTCTGATACAGAAATAAAAAGATGATATCAGAGACATAGTGGGTGACAATGTAGTTAAAATATCAAGTATTATATGTAGTAGATACAAACAAAAATGGAAAATAAATATGAATAAAAATAGAAAATAAAGGAGAATATAGCATGTAAGATAAAAGTAAACAGATTCTTCTTTATTTATTCTCCTTTATTTCCTATTTTTATTCATAATTATTTTCCATTTTTGTTTGTATCTTCTACATATAATACTTGAGACTTTAACTACATTGTCACTCACTATATCTCTGATATCATCTTTTTATTTCTGTATCAGGCAACATATTCTTATTTTATATCTACTTATATTAATTTATTTTATTTTCACCATCTTTTGTAGCACTGATGAAGACCTGCAAAGTGGATCAAAATGTCAGCAAAAATTAAATAATTCTACTTGTTTAATTTAGTATTAATTTGCTAATATTAATAAGCTGGGATTCGAATCTGGGGCCTTGAGCATTGAAAGCTCAGTGCCCTACCACCGAGCCACCCCACTCACGACAATAAAAGTTATATAACCCAAAAAGGAAATTTAAAAAAAAAACTAACTTTAAAGTTGAAGTTTTTATTCTATTTACTTTATTGCAATATTTTGCTCTAATTATTGATTAAACACTCTGCATCATATCTGTAATACTGTAATTCAATTTACTTTATCATTAATTCCCTAAATTTCTGTTTGTAAAAAGTGCTAACTGTAAATACTTCATTTATATATTAACTGTATGAACTTATCTTTTATACTATATTTAATTTAAATTAGTTTTTAATGTGCACTGGATATATATATAATAGGTATACTTAGTTGTTTTTCTCCATTGAAAAGATTATCAAATTGTAATCTCATTCTTGAAGGTTTGAAACTGTAGTCAAAACTCTTCACTTCTAAGTAAGTCTTATTTTTTCTTACTATTGGTGTTCCAGTTACTATGCTGTATCCATCAACATTATCTGTAACATCAAATCTCTTATTTTATTTATAAAGATTATTCAATAAACTTTTTATGAAAACGTTAATTAAAAATTATTCTTTACAAATATTTGTGTATTTTAAATTATCTATTACACTGAAAGATATAATATTTTATATGTCTGGTATATTTGTGAGCGTAATTGATTTTGTTACCATTTTTCATGTTTTCATTTTCCATACATCAATATTTAATGAAAGTAACTCATTTTAATTGTTGCCTCTAGTTAAAACAATAAGAAGTAAGTTGTCTTTTATAAAGAAATGGCTTCACTCCAAAGCAGAACTAGAGCTCCTTGTCCCAGACAGAGTTTAGTGGGCAAAAAATTCCAAATAAAATAGTATTTTTTGGTTAAATAAAAATATTAGTTTCTGATTTCTGATATTAGTTTTGGTCTTGATTCATAATATTAATCTTGAAATATATTACCTAAAATACTGTTAGGTGTATGAAAGTGTAAAATGGGGGAGGGGTGAGAGTTGAGGCAAACAAAGAGATTATAAAATTAAGCTTTCTTCCCCCCCCTCCCCCACCAGGAAAAAACTCTTAGTTCCAGAGGAATACTTCATTGAGCTAGTGCAAAAATTAGCTCTCTATACTCCAAGAAAATAAAAACAGTTTTTTGAGGATTGACCAATTGACTGTGCTAAAAAATATCCTACCAGGAAGATAATAGAACTTTACTGAAATATAATTATTTAATTTTATAATGTATTATATAAAAATACAGTCCTTATACTAAAATTTATTATAAATTTTATTGTACCTATGATTAAAACTATAAAATAAAAACAATATTAAAATGATTCTGTCATTGAAGATTACCTAAACACTGGTTCCATAAACAAAGCACTTCATTCCAATACTTCAATTAATTTTCATAAATCAGTAATAAAATATGAGTTGAGACAACCTATTTAAGAAGTATTATATAATTTTTTTAATTTGTGTATTTGAAATATTGGCACAAAGAATTTTCTGAAAAGTATCTTTCTATGAAATAATTACCCTTCTTTATGAATATATTAAATGGAAAATTGAAAAAAATATTTTGCTACAACAGCTAAATTTTATTACAATCTATTTATCATTATATTTATAAATTTCTTTATTTTCTAATCTTGCATAAAAAAAATATTGTTTTAATAATTATTTCCACAGTTCCTAATTGTGGTGCCTTGATTATGTTATATTAAATTAAAAGATTAGCAAACTCTCAGGTTTATTTAATAATTAATATAATTAATTGTTGTCATTCTCAAGTAAATAAAAAGTTTGCATTTTGTTCATTCAAATAAAAATCTAATCCCATGTATAAATGTAATAAAAACATCCAAATTTTATGTGATAAATTTTAATAGGAGATTTTTTAAATTTTTATTTTTTTATCATGTATGTAAAAATTTTACCTTATTTTGAAATTTTTGTTTATTTTAATAAAAACAAACAATGTTAAACTTAACATCTAATTATAAAATAAAGTTGTGAATTTGGTGATGTATTGACCTAATAATTAATATTTAATTTTTTTTTCTTTCTAAATAAATATTTATTAAACAACTTGATTTACTCACCGAGTGTAATACTGCCTTTTCCTTTCCCACGTATAGGAAGGAGCAGAATTTTCCCATCGACTTCGTAGTCTCCTTCCAAGACCAATTTCTTATTAAAACTCTTGCATTCTAGTTTCACAGCTTCAAGATTGGTTCTATTCATAAAATTTAATATGTAAATATCTGTATAAGAGTAGATATTTTGAAATATATGTTTGTAAACTAGAACATATGATTGAGGAAAATACAATTTGTGTTGAGCAACCACATGACAGCTAAGCCAGAGAACAGGTTTGTAGGCCAAAAGAAGCCTGGCAGCCTTTCTCCAACAGCGTGGATTTAGAAAGGATTAAGCAACACTTGATAAGAGATTTCAACTCTGATGTAATTTTCAAATGCTTCTACCTCTATGTAATCAGCTAAACTGCAATTTCCTCTCACCAGATATTACAAAATAATAAAATAAATATAACAAAATTATAATAATAGAAAAATTTACTTTTGGTCTGTTATCTTGACATCAGTGATACCGTGAATATTTAAATTTTTAAAGCTAAGGTCTAAACTAATCGGTCCTTTGCCTCTTCCTATGACTAAGTGTGTTATTTTCAAAGGCTCTAATCCAACCAATCCAAGTTTCGGTATCCCTGAAATTAAATATCGTTTTTATCTTGTCACTTTTGATTTTCGAAATTATTAAAAAAAAAAAAAAAAATTACCACTTGATAAAATTTTTATAGCATCTTCGATCGCATCGTTGAGACACACATCGAATTTCGGATCTGTTCTTCCACACTTTTTAAACGAACTTGCTAAAATTTACAGAGCACCTTTATTAATTTATGAATTACACTATACTCATCGAATAAAAGGAAGAAATATAAAAGGGTATTTACGTAATTTTGCTGACATTGCAATTTGAAAGAGAGCAAACGACAGTATACTGTTGATGATGATGATGCGGGACGCCATCGCAGGTGTGCTAAAGCTGGAAGCCAACAGAAGACTGAACTGGAGACCTCCTACTTGGGATAGTTATATACCCTCTCTTATTTCTGCAACCAACCACTCATCAACTGATGTAATGTCTATAGTTAATGTAATTTCAAAATTACTTCCATACTGTGTATTATATTATATATTAATTTTTAAAAATAAATTTTAGATATTTCAATATTTTAAACTGAAATTAATTGAAAAACTGTACTAAATATAAGGAAATTAGTGATAGTGATAGAGTTTCTGTTTAATGAGGACTTTCTTTGAAAGTAAATAATAATATACAATTTCTTCAAGATAAACATTATTTATAAAAATATGATTTATTGTTTTAAGTAAAATATAACATCCAAAGAAGAACTTTTAATTTTTTTATTTTATTTTACACACTTTTGCTTGATATATTTTAAATACCTGATTATTATTATTATTAGGTTTATGAAAAAAAAACCAATTCTATTTATTATAAATATTAATGAATTATTATTATTTAAATTTTATAATTGAAGAGGAGTGGGGATAAGATTTAAGAGATTTTTTTTTAAACAGTTTTTAATAATTCCAGAATGTTAATTTTTTAAGAAAACGAACAATTGTCAAAATATTTAAAATTGATTGTTATGTATAAAACCACCAAAAAAAAAAAAAAAATTATGTTAACTTTGTTAAATATATTAATACTTAATAAAATGGTAAGTTATTTTTTTATAAATTAAATAATAATATTCATATGATAGACATATTTTCATTTTAAATTTAAATGCATGTATAATAATCATTTAATATGAGATCATTTGATATAAAAAAAAGTTGTCAAATGTTGTTAGTATCCTAGTACTTAGAGTTAATAAAATAAAATTTAATACATTTAAATCAATTTTTTTAAAGATATATTTAAATTTAAATAAATAAATTATTATTACTTTATAATTGAATTAATATTATTTGTCAATACTCTAAGTAAATAATACTTTTTTTCAGGATATAGATGTCTTTATTTCAATAAATTGGTCTTTTGGTTAATTAAATGTTTTTCACAATTGTCCTATGCAATTTTGATCTTTCACTTTATTAGAAATATAAAATTTAAGCTGTTCTTGAATAATACTTTCTGATTCCGTTTCTTATATCGTATCTTTAAATTAGAATCATTATCATCTTAATGATTATAATATAATTAAGGTATTATAAAATTATAATCACTTTCTTAAATGGTCAAAAGAGGATTTATAATTTTTGAAATATCAAAAAAAAAATTTAATTTTACATATTATGCAATTTGAAGACACCTAGTTGTTTATTAAATTATTTCTGTTTACTATTTTTAATTCTTGTTAAGTATTTTTAAATATGTTTAAAAATAGAAATAAAGTAATATAGTTTTGTTTATGCTAAACAGTTTCCATGGTAAAAGAAACAATTCTGTTTTATGAAAGGGATAGTTTTGGCTAATTTTTCATTTTTGCAATTATCTTCAATCTTTATCATTCAATAATTTAAAGTCCAGAAGAGCTTTATATCTAATCATTTAATTCATATATGTAGCTGATATTGAAAAGTAATCGGTAACAAAATTACTAACGTCAATAACCCAGCAAATATGCGTGTGACATAACGGTTACATTATTGGAACTTATTACGCAAGGCTAAACAGGTTTGTAACAGCAGTGATTTTGTTTAGGTATTCATAGCTAACTGTATGTTTGAAACTTTGATTTTCTAAAAACAAAACAAATTATTATTGGCTAATTCATAATGATATATCAAATTTAAAAAAGCGACACGTAAATTACGCGCTGTAGTTATTATTATTATCACCAATAAGTATAATAGTCCAGTAACCTTGTACATCGTAAGTTGCATGGAATGGTGGTATAAAGTTTATTTTTATAATTGGTAATAGGTTGACTGTCGTGGATAATGAAGAGAAAAATAGTTGGGGTGCTCAGTCAAAAAGGAAGGCAAAAAATAAATTATAATATTTATTTTTTACATATGCCGACGTTTCGACCTGAAGTTCAGGCCTTCATCAGGGCTAAGAAAATAACCAGATAACAAGGTATGAGAAACATAAGTAATGATGGTAAAAAAGATAATAAAAAATGAGAAAAAAAAAAAGTTATTAGAAAAATAAAATAGATAGATATAAAGAACTAAGAGATAAATAATAAAAACTGTTACATAGTGTGGAATGATGAAGTAGGCATAATCAAAAAGGGGTGACAAAAGTGTTACATTGGGAATCTTAGAATAAAATGTAAAAACATAAAAAAGAAATATAAAGAGAATGAAAAGAAAATAAATGGTTTATTTTTATTTTCTTGTATGGGATATGACTAAGATACAAAAATCAAGTTTTCGACCTCATCCCTTCCCCTCGGATTACTTTTGAGTATCCCAAAAACTGCTATATTTTGATAGATAGATATTCTATGACGAGGTCCCTTATGAATAACAGATATGAACATAAAAATAAAAACTACATCTGGCCAAAAAGTACATTAGTCAATATTAAAGAATATATAGTATATTCAGTAAAATTATATTAAAACAAGTAAAAATAACACCATGTTGAAAAAAAACAAATAAACAAAAACATTATTTAAATGAAAAGAGAACAAAATAAAATAAACATGGGCTGATTTTTAAAATTAAGAACTCCATCAATTTTTACAACCATTCACCTCAGTCAAAATCTGTTTCGCAGTATTTATTTTATTGTATAACGTCATTTTGGGATGTGAGAAGGAATTGGTAAAGATGATATTTAAATGAGGACAAGGAGGAGGCATGGCGGATTTTAGATGGCAAGGAATTCCAGAAGGCAGTGGATCGGGCAATAAAGGAATATTCAAATGTCTTAATTCTATGGGAAGGGATATAAAGGTCGGAAACACGGGATCTTGTTTTCTGGGAGTGGACCACGGGTTTAAACTGTAGGAGACTGTAGATGTAGGAAGGGTGTCGGATGTTGATCGTTTGGAATAGGAAAGATCCAAGGAAATTTTGTATGCGGAAAGAAGGGAAGAGCAAATTTAACTCGTCGTAAAGGTGGGACACATGAGACCGCCTCGATGTACCGAAGACAAACCTTAAGCTCGTATTTTCGCACTTTTTTCGATTTTATCCATGAAAGAGCACGTTTTCGACAAAAAACTTTCATTTCATTTATAAACTAGATTAAATATACTACAATTCAACACCCGAACAGGATCAGTAAATCAAATTGTTTACGAGATACAGATTTTCAAATTTTATTTTCCATTTAAATTATTTTTCGTGTTTGATCATATTCATTTGTCTTTTATCTTCAATAACTTCTCTGATATGAACCAGCAAAGTAAATATTTATTCATTTTAATATTTTGAAGGAAGGGGGGGGATAGATTTGGTGGAAGAGGGTAGTCTGTGGGGCAGACCCCCCTTGCAATCACTATAAATTGCATATCGTTGTTCCTTGTAACTATATATTTGAAAAAAGGCAATGTTCCTCCCCCACCAAAAAAAATGTCCACACTGTCTCAAAATGGCTGAATGACGACTTTGACTTGAGTTACTTTTTCGGTAACTTAGATTCAGCAGTAGGCTTCATTTCGTCATAATTGGTCTTTTATTAAAGCTGGATAGTCAGAGTATAATAAGGGATAAACAAAATTTAAAACTAACTGGCTTTGGAAATAAAAAATATCAGCAAAGTTAATTTTTTTAAGTCGTTCAAACTAAAGTTGAAAATCAAGCGTCATTTTTAATTAAACGGCCAAAAATAAAACATCTAGGGAGCATATTTATCTTCCTAAATCACTGATTAATTTTTAATATATTTGAAACAGTTAGAAAATGTACCTAATCGTCGGAAAAGCGGCACTGGTGTAGGCCCCTACGAAAAAGATGGAACGCTATAAATGACTAAAGTCATTCTAGCTCAATAACGGATCCAGGATTTAATTTTGGGGGGAGCTTCAGCCCGAAACATTTTTTTTTTTTTGTATGTATATATCAGGATAATTACTTCCGAAGAAAGAAAGAAACTAACTACCTATGCGAATTTGTGTTTAAGAGATTCTTTAAGTACTATTAAATGTAACTAGACGAACAATAATACTTTTAGAAATAATTCTTTTAATAAAACATGGTTACATTTTATCATTTTTGGGAGGAGGCTTCAGCCCGAAAGCCCCTCTCCCCCCCACTCGGTAGATCTGCCTGTGTTCTTGCTCACTTATCTTATTAATTATTTATAGCCATTCCGAAATCCATGTATCCTACCCCTTCAAAATAATTATTTAAATAAATGTTTACTATACCAGGGGTAATTAGGTATAAAGTGATAATATAAAGTGGTGTTTTCGATTAGGCGATTTTTTTAAATATTATATATTTCAAATTTTTGTTCATATTTATTCAACGAATAAAATTCATATTACAAACCATAAATAAAGTTGAGAACAAGAAAGATATTATAATTGGTAATTGGTTGACTGTCGTGGATAATGAAGAGAAGAATAGTTGGGGCGTTCAGTCAAAAAGGAAGGCAAAAATAAATGATAATATTTATTTTTTATATTTTTTATTTTTTACGTATTTTTTATGTAAAAAATAAAAAAATAAATATTATCATTTATTTTTGCCTTCCTTTAAGAAAGATATTATTTTATATTGAAACGAAAAAACAAAAGTTGGATTTTTTTATGGGGGAGGGGGGAAAGAGCCTTCCAACTTTTAGTATAAATAATTTATCGATGTCGAGGACGTGCCCTAGTAAGCTTTTTTGGTTAATCTGTTAAAATTCCGGGAATGAAATTAACCCCGAAACTCTGGTGTTGAAATAAATTCACTAATTATTGTATTACTTGCTTTCCCTTCACGTTTGGGGGGATAAGTATGGTTCGGAGTTCCTATGGCCGACTGTAAATACTGTAATAGGTATGCCTGTATCTGAGATGTTTATTTTCATTACTTTCTTTTTTTTTTTCTCACTATGATATTTTATTTTGTTCTTTTGTAGCTTTATATTATTTGAAGTTAGCTTATTTTTTTTAATTTGTAAATATGGTGTGAATGTGCTCTCAGAACTCTATTATAAATGTCCTTTATTGAGACAGATTGTAATATTTATCAATAAACCAAAAAAAAAAAATTATTTTATCAAACTTCTAGCGGTTAAGATGTTTTGTTCTACGACATTTATCGGGGAAAAAAGAGTGGGTGAAGACCAACATTTTAAGAAACAACATATATTTCAACAACTTGGTGCAAGAAAAAAAAAGAAATAGTAATATGGTTTATAAAAAAAAAAAAGTTTTTTCTACTAAATATTTGTATAATTATTTCTTTGATATAAAATACAATAAATACTCAAAGTATAGTCCATTGTTATCTACCCTCATTAGCCATCTGCTAGCCAATTGCTCGATCCCTCGCTAAGGGTGTAAAATGCTATGATAAAGCCAGTTCAAATATATGGCTGTGAGGCCTGGACACTAACCAACACCCTAGAAAATAGTGTTGAAAGATTTGAGAGGAAAATCCTCCGCACGATAATCGGAGCGATCTAGGATCAGAGTAGTAACACATGTAGAAGACAGACCAATAAAGAACTGCTTACAATAACTGGTCAATCAATATCCCATGATATGAAGGCACCGAGATTAAGATGGGCGGATCATCTGCAAGTCGCTCCTTTTTCAATTTCCTGGTCTCTCTCTATCAGTCAGTTTTTAGTTACCTGACCGACATCAGACTGCCAGTTGCCGTACTGCCTTCCGCAGTACCAGACACGGTATGACATATTTTGACTTTTATTATTATTTTTATTCTTAATATACCTACTACCTACCTATTACCCTTAATATAAACCAGATATTCCAAATCCATTACTTTTCCAAATTAAATTGAACTTCAAAATCATCTACATATACTGATGATTTGGTAATGTGAAGCGAAGACACGGAGACATTAAAACAAAAATAATGTTATTTTTCAGTTGGAAAATTACATATTTCGAGCCTTTTATCCCGAAATTAAAAATGTCTACATGAAGAGAAGAATAGTTGGGGTGTTCAGTCAGAAAGGAAGGCAAAAATAAATTATAATATTTATTTTTTACATATGCCGACGTTTCGACCTGAAGTTCAGGCCTTCATCAGGGCTAAGAAAATAACCAGATAACAAGGTATGAGAAACATAAGTAATGATGGTAAAAAAGATAATAAAAAATAAAATAAAAAAAATTATTAGAAAAATAAAATAGATAAATATAAAGTAAAATGAAATTGTTAGAATAATGACTAAGAACTAAGAGATAAATAATAAAAACTGTTACATAGTGTGGAATGATGAAGTAGGCATAATCAAAAAGGGGTGACAAAAGTGTTACAATGGGAATCTTAGAATAAAATGTAAAACATAAAAAAGAAATATAAAGTTATATAAGAAATGAAAATAAATAGTAAAATTAAAACATTGAGAATGGAGTAGTTAGATAGAAAATTGAGATATTGTAAAGTCTATCAAGATGTACAGACAATGTATAATATAATAAAGAGTTAAAAACAGAGAAAAGGAATGAAAGGAAGGAGGGAAGAAATTGAGAAAGCTGAAATAAGAAATAAATAAAAGAAGTACTACCTTTCTCCTTAAGTGTCGAAGGGAGAATAAAAGTCGTTACAAGGGAGGGGGAGAGAGAAGAGATGTGAAAAATGTCTACAGTTCTTTATGGATGCGAAATGTGGTCGCTTACCCTTTTTTTTTCTTCCATTTTAGATATATGGCGGACTAGAGTCACAACCAAACGTATTTTATTCAAAATAGAAGCTCGAGATTTATATCGTTGATCCGCCAATAAATGTCAACTCACCCAGACGGTATTCCAATCGGCACCGATAGACTCGAGAATGTTAATTCGTGCAACGCCTCAGGCCGTTTGGCCATAGCGTCAACTAAATCCGTTAAATATAATTGAGATGACAGCTCTGCGAAGAATGAAATTTGCATGTAAAATTCTTGGCTTAATGGCGTACGAATCACTGAAAATGTTAAAAAGTTAGATAGGCTATACCGATCGGTAAGTGTTCGAGGTTAGACCGAAGCGAAGATGGGAAGATTGCTTCAATGTTAATCCGGCGGGGTTGGGTTAGTTCGGCGGATTGTGCTAGGAAGTCGATTACGATTGGTGATATCTGCATTGAACCTTTGGGTTCGCTAAGCCTTTATTATAATTCTGTTATCTAAAACTTCGCTTTATCTCACCGTAACCTAAACATATTTTATTTATTATTAATAATATTTACGAAAACTCTTGGAATTGGGGCGTTTTCAAAATGGAGGTCGGCGAACTTTGTCTATTTAATTAGGTACTAAAACCTCGTAAATACCCATTTACTTTCCACTTAAATCCTAAGATAACTTGAGCACAAAGTCGAGAAAAAAAGGTGGCTTTCAGAAATGTTGAGCCGTTTAGCGTGACCTACACTCTCGAATTGTCAAAATAACTAGGTTATACAGGCCAAAAGGCCCAATATTTTTGTATGAAACCTTTTTTCTCGACTTTGTGATCAAATTATCTTACGATCCAAGTGGGAAAAAAAGGGGTATTTATGAGTTTTTAGTACCTAATTAAATAGACAAATTTTGCCGACCTCCAGATTGAAAACGCCCCCATTCCAATTATTAATAATAAATAAAATATGTTTAAGTTACGATGAGATAAAGCTATTTACGAAGTTTTAGCCGGATGTTAATAATTTGATAAAAAGGGGTCTGTACCACTGACTAATAAGTATTATTCAAACCATTTTATTCTCATGAAGTGATATAAGCCAATAAGGAGGAAGGTAAGAAGTTACCAGGTGAGCGTATTTAATGATGATGGTGATAACGTGTAATGTTAAGGTTATGATTCTTGTTCTTGAGCATTTTGCTTTCGCTTAAAAGAGGAACAAGTGTCAGTTTAGAACAACTTGATTATCATCATCCTTATCGTGTCCTTCATCTGAGCGAGTTAATTCATCTTCAAAAAGAGAAAAACTTTAGAGGGAAATGAGAAAAATGATGGAAAAAATGAAGAGTGAGCAGCGTCTTGGGAGCCAAACTGCTCGTAGCTCCTTTTACCAATTTATAAGGAATAGTAAGGCAATACCTCCTTGTTATTTAGCTTTAGGTGTAGCTAATAATAGATTAACTAATAACAGAAATAGAGTTATTTCCCTCTCACCACTAGCGTATCCAGGATTTAATTTTGGAGGGAGAGCTTCAGCCCGAAAGATTTTTTTATACATATACATACAACGATAATTAATTTGAAAAAAAAAGAAAGAAATTAACTACCTATATGAAATGGTGTTTAAGTGGTTCTTAAAGTCCTATTAAATGTAATTACACGAACAAGAATACTTTAAGAGATAGTTTTTAATATTTTTTTCTGTAAAACGTTGTTATATTTTACCATTTTGGGGGGGAGGGCTTCAGCCCGAAAGCCCCCCTCCCTCCCCCCGTAGTTCCGCCTGTGCCTCTCACTAAATCATACTAGCGGATCCAGGATTTATAATTTTTTTTTTTGGGTGGGGTGGGCTTCAGCCCGATGTTTTTTTTTTTCATATATATAACAATAATTACTTTGGGAAAAAAAGGAAACTAACTACTTATATGAAATAGTGTTAAAGTGATACTTGAACTCCTATTAAATGTAATTAATGACAGAAACAATAATACTTTAAGAGATAATTTTTTTATATTTTTTTCCATAAAACAGTTACATTTTACCATTTTGAGGGGGGCTTCAGCCCGAAAGCTTCTTCCTCCCCCCGTAGATCCGCCTGTGTAGCATACCTTAAGAGCTACAAAAAAGTTTATATAAACAACGGTAGTAAAAAGTTTATATTTTTACTTACACTTACCTATTTATGAATTATATAGTAAGGGTATTGCGATCGTGAAAATTTTCGAATCTGAGTATTCAACGTAAATACATGTTTTGAACCCTCCAAATAATCAAGTCCCGCAATGGTTTGCGTGCGTGTTTGTGTTAACAGTCTAGCTCGAAAACGAAAAGTAGTATGAAAGCGAAATTGCATATTTAAGGTTAGTATATACCTGAGATGCTACAAAAACGTTTTCGTCAAAATCGGCTAACCGGAATTGACACTTTATATAATCGTTACACATTTTTATTACGTGTTATTATTTTTAATATGTCCTCGAAAACGGCTTTAACGATATTGATCAAACTCGGTGCAGCAGTGTATTATTAAGCAGTTTTTAATATAATTTAGGTTTTATTCTCATTTATATTCTCTAAAAGGGCTTAAACGGCTAATTTTCAATATTAGCTGCCATTAATGTACCTTTATTTTTTTACTATTTGAAATAATTAACCATTTCACATTAATCTTTGATATATAAAATTTTTTTTTTAGATCTTGTTTATTGAGAAATATTACTATCTGTCTCAAAGGACATTTATAATAGTTTTCAGAGATCACATTCACAATCTATGTACAATAAATAAGAATAAAATAACTGTAAAATAATTTTAAAAAACATACATACCTATGTGTATTTACAACTATTTACCGTATTACAACTATTATAACTATTTACTCCGAGACAGCCTTGTACCTCCAACTGTGGAGGGAAAAGTGTGACTCCTGAAGATTCCTGCTCTACTCTCTCAACCGCCTCACTGGGGTTCAAACCCATTGGATATTGAACAAGAGCGCTTTAGCCACATTCACTCATGTCATGAATGGAGAATCTGGCCATTGACAGAACTCCAATATATCCAAACCACGAAAGGTCGCGGGGCCACTGCCTTTTTAAACTTCTTGGAGGATTATAGGGATGGATGGTGCTGAATAGGGATTGTGCAAGAGGATACGGATGATAAGGTTCTGGTGAAATTTGGAGAATTTTTATGGGATAAGATCTAGGACAAATGGGACATTTAGGTAATTATGAAAGGGTTTTGTTGATTACATAGAAGGGAGCAGCGACTATTGTTCGAAGGATTTTGGACTGGAAGGATTGGATGCGTTTGATGTTAGAAAATTTTGCTGTCAATATCATGGTGGCTACCAAATTGTCAGAGTGAAATTCCCTGAGTTTTCCCTATTTAAAAGTAGTTTTCCCTGACCGATATGTCAGGGGACACAAATGTTAAAAATGTATAGTTTATAACTATAACTATATATATATTATTTATGACTATTTAATTTATCATACATGATTGATAATTGAAAGATTAAAAAAAAGTCTGTTAAAAAGTCTTTTAAAAAACAAATTTATTGTTCTAGAGGAAGCATGTTTTAAACTTCATAAGGTTTTTTTTTTATTATTTTTATTTTAGAACTAAACTAAACTAAACTTTAAGTAATTTATTTGTATTGCTTATTTACTAATACTTTAAGCACTTTATTTTTATAAAGTAAGAGTACGTAAAAGTTGATACTTAAAGCTTTTATCTATTATAAAATAAACTGAGCTACGGGCGATTCTTATTTTAATTTAGTTCTAACTAGACATCTTCCTCTTCATATTTAGTAATTTCACGAGTTGCTTCAGTGACTGTGAAATTTTTTTCCAAAAATGTTTTGAAATTATGAAAATTTCGCATGACATTGTCATGTTTCTTATCAGAAACAAGTAAATAAACTGAGGTTTTTTTTGGAAGAAGTAGAGTGGGATAAAACAAGGTTAGGGAAAGCTCTAAAGGGATTATTAAATATTGGTAAGTATTAAATATTATTAAAATATTTTAAGTCCTTTGAAATATATATATTTTTTTTTATAAAACTTGTTAAATATTAAAACAGCCGCGAAATAATATCCTGTAATGCTGACAGTTTGCAGAGGCGTGGACCAGAGGTTCGTGATGACTGGACTCCTGGGCTTCGGCATCCTCTGCAACTACATGCAGAGGGTTTGCTTCTACATCACCCTCGTCGAAATGACCAAGCAGTTCTCGGAGGACAAGCAGAACTTCTTCTGGCAGCAGGAGGGCTCCTGGGAGCGCTGCCCGCACATCTTCTTGGAGGATGAGGACAAGAAGGATGTAAGTCCGCCTCAGGAAATTTGTAAATATATTTTTTTTTTATTTATGATTTTATTGAAATTTACAACTGTATCACATTAAAAATACAACAGGTAAATGTGACATTGGTAACATGACATGTAAAACATGAAGAGAAACTACCCATTGGTAGAACTCAAATTAAAGTTCTATATTAGAAGGTCCCGAGGCCATCTTCTTTTCAGACGGCTCGGAGGGTTATCAGGATTCGAGGAGGAAGCAAGGTTAAAACAAGAGGATTCGGATGGTTATGAAGTTTATTATGGAAGGATAGGTATCTGGATTGGGCCAAATCGGAAACATATGGAACATTAAGGTCTTTATGGATGATTTTATTTGTGACAAAGCAAGGAGCGTTGAGGATTTTACGAAGGATTTTGGATTGTAAGGATTGGATACGAGAGGAATTCGATGGCTTAGTGGAGCCCCAGAGCTCAATTCCGTAGGTCTGTAAATATTAAATCGCAATGATAACAAGAGGTGGGTAAGTCCACCATAACATATTGTATATCTATTTGGGTCGATACGATATTTAGAAATACTATTTATATATATATTACCATTTGTTCAGGTTTTTATTTTAATTTAAATGAGCATTTTTGTTTGTTTTAATTTAAAGTTTAATTTACACAAAACAATTTTTTTTTTTGGTCCTCCCCTTCCTTGCTGTTAATGCTATACGGGGTTTTCGGTGTGAGCGGGGATTTAAAAGACGCCTTGGCACCGGGACGCGAACTCGTGACTATTTTTATAACACATTTGTCATATATCAGGTTGCCGGGCAACGGTGGTGCTGTGCACAACTCGTTAGCCCATCCGCCCACCCCGCACACACTAATAATGTACTTAAGTGGTATGGTAGGAAACCACGGTAAACAGATGGTGATTATTAACAAATTTGTCAAAAACCTAAACAAATTACTCTAAATGGCCTCGCTGCTTGGAAATGAGTGCTTTTGATGGTGGCAACAATATTGTCATTCTTATGAAGCTCATATAGCTTTAATTTTTCTTATTCGCCATTGATCATTTATTCTTTTGGGATCGTATACTTTCCTCAGGACTTTCTTTTCCCAAATTTTCAGCAACCTTTGGATTTCCTGGATCAACCACCACGTTTCACACCCGTAGGTAACGACTGGCCTAATGACGGTTTTATAAACTGCTATTTTGTGGTCCCATGTCAGTTCCGTTGATTTTAGAAATTTTGCCAGAAAATAAAAAAAATTATTAAAATTAACATAAATTAAAAAGGACTGATGATCTTCGTTGTTCTTTGTCAATCGAGATGACGGTCCATTTTCTTATTCATTATCACAAGAAATAGATAGAAATTATTCTGGAAGTTAGTCGACAGTTCTACATATCATGGGTGATAGATATTCAGGGCGGAGTCATTATAAAGTTTTTATTAGTGCCGACGTTTCAACCCAAACATGTGGGTCATCATCAGGGCGTGTTTCGAGCACTGAAGGTATTCAAGTACCAGAAGGTATTGAGTCGTTGAATACCTTCAGTGCTCGAACCAAGCCCTGATGATGACCCACATGTTTGGGTTGGAACGTCGGCATTAATAAAAACTTTATAATGACTGCATTCTGAATATTTATCACCCAAGACAATATTCTTATCATATTTTTATTCGAGTCTACTGGGCCTATTTTTTCAGATTTCAAATTAAAGTCAGAGGTCACCAGGGGATAATCCTACCGACATTACAATCTGTCAATAAATTTCAACTCACCCAGACCGTATTCCAATCGGCACCGATAGACTCGAGAATGTTAATTCGTGCAACGCCTCAGGCCGTTTGGCCATAGCGTCAACTAAATCCGTTAAATATAATTGAGATGACAGCTCTGCGAAGAATAAAATTTGCATGTAAAATTCTTGGCTTAATGGCGTACGAATCTCTGAAAATACTAAAAAGTTAAATAGGCTGTGCCGATAGGTAAGTGTTCGAAGTTAGACCAAAGCGAAGATGGGAAGATTGCGTCAATATTAACCTGGCGGGGTTGGGTTAGTTCGGCGGATTGTGCTAGGAAGTCGATTACGATTGGTGATATCTGCATTGAACCTTTGGGTTCGCTAAGTCTTTAGTATAATTCTGTTATCTGGAAATTATGTATTCCCTGGTACAAACCATTTTTTATCAAATTATTAACATCCGGCTAAAACTTTATCTCATCGTAACATATCTTATTTATTATAAATAATCGAAATGGGGGCGTTTTAATCTGAAGGTCGGCGAACTTTGTCTATTTAATTAGGTACTAAAACCTCGTAAATACCCATTTACTTTCCACTTAAATCCTAAGATAACTAGAGCACAAAGTCGAGAAAAAAGATGGCCTTCAGAAAGGTTGAGCCGAATTGTCAAAATAACTAGGTTATACAGGCCAAACGGCCCAATATTTTTGTATGCAACCTTTTTTCTCGATTTTGTGATCAAATTATCTTACGATCCAAGTGGAAAAAAAATGGGTATTTATGAGTTTTTAGTACCTAATTAAATAGACAAATTTTGCCGACCTCCAGATTGAAAACGCCCCCATTTTGATTATTAATAATAAATAAAATATGTTTAAGTTACGATGAGATAAAGCTATTTACGAAGTTTTAGCCGGATGTTAATAATGTCGGCCGAAATCCTGTCGCTATAGGCTGCAGCGTCTAAACTGGTGTAACGATTTTAACCTTAATAAATTATAAATTAAAAATATAAATAATAGCTCATTACAAAGAGGACGAAATGCTAAACATTTCCCTCTCTTACAGTACGCAGGTCCGAATTTTAGTTTCTGAGATTTGTTAATCTATATCTTCAATAAAACTCGTTATAATTTGGTTTCCGACATTATTTTTCCCCTTTGGTCTCTCTAGCACGGCGGTCGCGTTAAGATACAATTTTGAATAATAGCTCATTAAAAAGAGGATGAAATGATGAACATTTCGCTTACAATATAGGTCTGATTTTTAGTTTTTGAGATATAAATACATTTAATACATTTGTATAAACACTTAAATTAGTCGACTCCAGCGGACTTTACTCGAGCGTTACACATCAGATATCTGACGGCTCTATCTAATTCACTCTCCACAAAGAAGTTCCCACTTGAAAAATATTTTAATTTTGATGATTGGGTTATTGTGTTAGTGAGTAGAGATGTGTTACCTAACAACTGATGGGGTTATATCGGATTTCCAAACGGCGCTGTTACTAACAAACTATTGTCACACACAGCTCAGGTACTTCATCTCGTACTGCGACATCGTATCGTCAACCGCATCGCTTGCGGCTAAAGCGATCTGGGACACATCTCAGCAACTCCACTGAACTATATTTCATCTCTTCAACTGTACGACTATCAGATATAAGTGCGTACTTTCCATTTTGATAGGGAGGAGCGATGTACAAAAAAAACAAAAAAACAAAAAAAACAGACTGTTTGTATTATGTGTACAATATAACGTTGTTATTGTGAAACGAACAAATATAATATTGGATATTAAAAAAAAAAAATATATATATATAGAAATAGAAATAGAAAAATCATCTTTATTCTGGGACTAGGTCCCTTTAGAATAACAGTATTGTTCAAATAAATTAGCAATAAATCTGGCCAAAAGACCTATTACAATGAATAATAACAAAATACTAGTAATAAATTAAGTATAATATCTCTTAGGATAAATTAACAAGTTGGGTAATAGGGGTTCAATACTACAATATCGGAGCTAAAACAATAGAATAATAATCACTGAATGAAATTAGAAAGAAACGAAAAATCAATTTTATCGGCAAAGCATTGTAGTGATGGAATATAAAAATTTAAAAAAAACAAACCGTTGATATATAAAAAAAATGATATAAATATGTTTCCTAAGATGTTCAAGTGATTACACGTAAATATTAGAGAAGAAAAAAATAAAATAAAGTGTGTGTGTATATATATATATATATATATATATATATATATATATATATATATATATATAGCGAGGAGTGTGTCGAAGATAATTAGAAAATAAAATACATTTCAAAGAAATACAATCTCCTGAATAGAAAAATTAGAAATTAAGAAAAATAAATTTTATTTACTCACAATGCTCTGTGAGTGGTGATGAAAATTCATATTCAACACAGAATAGAAAATAAGAAAAAAGAAATAGTGTCAAAAGAAAAAAAAAAAAAATATATATATATATATGTTAAGACAGTTGTAGGATTTGTTTAATGTGTTTTTGGATATACTTGAAAATATCTGAACAAAACAAGCGGATATATTACAATTTGCATACATTAAACATGAGAGGAAGGGGGACACACACAGGGGTTGTATAGACTTTTTGGAGGGGCACATTAAATTTTCAATTTTAAGAGAACATTTAGACCAGGAAATAAAGGGAAAAACAGACACACTGGGGTTCGCGTGTATATAAAAAATATTTAAGGGCGCCACATACTTGAACGAGCAGTGTTGACCAAATACGAGACCGAGACGAGTCTTGGTCTTGCAAACTCAGTCTTGTTCATGGTCTTAGTCTTGCGCAAAAGTCTTGCAGTTACTTATTAGCTTATTACTATAGCAATTATACTGTAATTTTTTAGATATGAGAAACCTAACTAAGCCCCAATGAAAAATTAGAGGAAGTAAATGCAAAAGTATATTGATTAAACCAATTATTAACATATAGTAACTAAGATTGTCAAGTATTAGTAACTATTTAAATTGATTTTTTTTACCAGTCCTGGTCTTGGTCTCGCAACAGTTAGGTCTTGGTCTTGGGCACGGGCGGATCTACGGGGGAGGGCTTTCGGGCTGAAGCCCTCCTCCCAAAATGGAAAAACATAACCATGTTTTATTGAAAAAATATTAAACAATTATCTCTTAAAGTATAATTATTCGTGTAATTACATTTAAAAGGGCTTTAGGAATCACTTAAACACCAGTTCATATAGGTAGTTAGTTTCTTTCTTA